TTTATCCATCCATCCATCCATTTTCCGATCCGCTTATTCTCACAAGGGTCACGGGGGGTGCTGGAGCCTATCCCAGCTGTCGTCGGTCAGTAGGCGGGGGACACCCTGAACAGGTTGCCAGCCAATCACAAAGCACACAGAGACGAACAACCACGCTCACACTCACACCTAGGGACATTTTGGAGTGTTCAATCAGCCTGCCATGCATGTTTTTAGAATGTGGGAGGAAACTAGAGTACCCGGAGAAAACCCAGGCAGACCCGGGGAGAACATGCAAACTCCACACAGGGAGGCCGCAGCCGGAATCGAACCCTGCACCTCTGAACTGTGAGTTCAACGTGCTAACCGCTGGAGCACCGGGCCGCCTGAGCTGTTTACTTTTGGTCAGATATATTTCAATTGTTTTGGAATTATTTTCTTTTTCTGTTCACAGATGGACCTATGAAGCAAGTTCAATCAGGGGGCGGCAGGTTGAGTGGCCGTTATACATTCAAACATTTTAAAATAGAGCTGTAATTCCAGTCCCGTAATACTGTGAAACCTCAATATTTCTGCTGGCCCCGACTGAATCTGCAACGGGCCTGTGCCAAATCTGCCCTTTCTCACTGAACGGTTGTTTTTTTTTCTCCTTTTATTTTTGTATTCCTTCTCCCTTCCAATCTCCCCTATCTGCTGAGGAAACATTGAAGAGTCGTTTTATTTGTCCCACAAAAACAGGTTCGCTTAAAACTCCAAATTGGCCACAGGTATGAATGTTGAGTGTGAATGGTTTTGGGGTTGTTTGGCGATCATTCCAGGGTGTACCCCCGGATCCTCACCGCGAGAGGCCTGCCGTAGCCTCCAACTTCCTTAAGTGAAAATGGATGGATGGTTGATATATTTCACAAGGGTGTGTTGAAAAGTAGTTCAGCATCTCAGGCCCGGATAAAAACGGAAAGCTGACAACTTCAAAGCCTTCCGTCCATGAAAGTTGTCTTATATTGGCTGAGCTGGGGCAAGCTTTTTGGTTGTGAAGAGTGTAATTATTTTTCTCCATACAGGAAATGTAAATGGATGAAAAAACAATTTATTTCCACCGCCCATTGTGAATCCTCTTTCACAAGGAGTCTAAAAAAAAGATGATTTAGGTCTAAGTGCCGACATTATGTTTTGGATTAATCTTCTCCCGGCAGTTTGTGTGTTTTCATCAGCTTTTAGGGCAATGGTAATTTTGGTCCAATTTCTGGCCGATTGCCCCGTTGTTCAAATGCTAATCATCATCACTGTGTAAATTGTTTTCTAGTTTAACACTCAAGGAAAGCGACTGCAAATATGTCACCCGGAGCGTCGGCAAGTAATCTTCTCTGTAAGCTCTTAAGTGAACTCAAGGAGGGTTATTCAGCACGTCCATTTTACACCTGGATGATGGTCACGAAACTGGAGCAGGGCAAAGAAGTCAAGATAAAACCAGTATGACGGGCAGATATGTGCAGCATTTCAGTCAAATAAGCGCATGAATTGAAATTTGCAAAACTGAAATTCTGTGGGGAAATAAATCATGAAATAAAGGCGTGTCTTTTCGATAGCTTTGAACAAAAACAAAACATGATCAGTTTGCAAGCAAAATGAGACAAGGCAGAGGCATGTTTTAATTGAGCCATTTTTTTATACAAGAAAACTGCAGATTTGCGCTCTGAAAATATGGTTGAATTCTTGCTTTCAGCTGTTCAAACCATTTACTCCATCAGGGCTATAAATATGTTACCATGAACCGCGATTTAACCCTTTCAAGGACAGCGGTTACTACAGTGGACAGCTTATCATGTTTATCAGGTTACAGGCTTCATTCTAGTTCAATATATGGAAAACATCCATTTGAAGTGACTTGTTTTGTGCGATTGCCATCCGCTACGTCAGGGGTGTCAAACCCACTTTTGTAGCAGGCCACATTTTAGTTACTGTTTCCCTTGGAGGGCCGTTCTGACTGAAACAAGAGAAAAGGTGTCAAAAATAACAATTTATTCAACTGTTGTGTAAGTTACTGTAATGAGAGGTTTGGTCACAAGAAAAAGCTTGCACACTCTCTGTTATTTGTTAATATGAGAATTTGAAACTTTGGTATAGATTTTAGTAAGCATCATGAAAGTTGATTTGCTTTCACGGGCCACATAAAATTATGTGGCGGGCCAGATCTGGCCCCCGAGCCTTGAGTTTGACACCTGTGCGCTATGTGTTTATAACTGCTCTATTGTATGCTATTATTCATGTAAATGAGGGGGAACTTTGAGTAAATATCAATAAAATAACACATGCAGAGAAGTCAATGTCATAATGAAATCACAAATAACTCCAATATTCAGAGAAATAAACATCCCTGGAGTATGGCCTGATCTCATTTGATCTCTAAAGAGAAATAAACACAACAAAGCATTGAAAAAGTGAAAGAAGCATCTTCAAAGTTCAAGCTGGTGCAGTGTGAAAACAAATCTTAAGTGTTAAGATTACATCAATCTGGCGATCGGATTCATCTTCACAAAAAGGTCAGAAACGTCTTCCAGCAGCACATAACGGCAACGCGGTCATCTACGAAAAACAAACAATTCTTTATTTTTGCTGTCGACGGAAAACTTTTGGGTTTGACATCAGATGTGAACAGAACGTAGAACTTTTTTTTTTTTAATTCCCTGACATTTGTTTTTTATGTGATTGATTGTATATTAATAGTGCTGCGTGTGTAACCAACATGAAAACTGGAGAGCAATATAGCAGTTAAAAAAAAAAAAAAGCAATTGTGAGTCTGGGAGAAGAATGGAAACTCAGTGATTTCACGAACAGCGAGTACAGCAGTGCCTTGGGATAAAAGTTTGATTCATTCCGTGACCATGCTCGCAACTCAGAACATTTTTCTGCAATAAAATGTATGAAAATGGCATCAATCTGTGTTTTTTTTAAATAAGGAAAATAGCATATTATTGTCACGTTTGCGAGGTGGTGGTGGACCCCAAAAAGCAGGCAAGAGGGAGGAGCAGGTTGTACTTGAAAGCTTGTATTAAAACTCAAAACTAAATCCAAAACAAACAAGGTTCAAAGCATCAAACAAAACACATGACCGAAGATAAAAGATAACAATGACCAAAACCTGACTGAAAAAAACATGACAGCAGCCAGCAAACAGCAACAAACAAACATGACAGTAGCAAAGAGCAACAAACAAACATGACGGTAGCAGAGAGCAACAAACAATGACCCGACAATGAGTAGTCGGCCTGGAGTCCTTTTATAGCCACTAATTACCTAATGACCAACAGGTGTGCAGCTGCAGGGGAAGCCCTACAGTGCCACCTGTTGGTCCCAAACCGAATCATGACAATTATATTGTACTTCATTTTTTTTAAAAAAAAAAAAAAAAAAAAAAAAAAAACATGGAGTACCTAAAGAATTAAATTATTTCTGGCCACTCCACTGAAAGTTTTTTTTAGCTCCGCTCCTGACGACTGTTCACCTCCGGACAAAAATATAGAGGCTGCACCAGAACATTTATAAAACCGAAACCACTCAGGATCAAGATGAATAGCTAGGTCAGGCAGGAATATACCAAAAAGTGGACACGTAAGTTTTATGGACTGATAAAACAAAGATGAATCTTTAGCAGAGTGACGGAAAGGCTTTGTAAACCTTTGAAAATGAAATCTACTCATGATCCCAAACATGTGAGCTCATCTGTGAAATGAGGTAATTGTCATGGCTTGGACTTGCAGAGCTTCTTCTGGGATGGGATCGTTAATCTTGATGGATGATGTCATGTGATTTCAGGTGAAAAATTAATTCTATGGAGTCGACAAAAACATTTTGGCTGTCAATTTATGAAAGAAATTTCACCAAACCAAACTGATTGGGAGTGTTGACACAGTTGCCAAAACACCAAAGGGCTTCATCATAGGCATCTCCTTTCAAATCCTTTCTGTCAAATGCAACCTAAATTGTGGAGAAAATCCAGTTATACAGTAATAGCTGGAAATAAAATCCGAACTGTTGATTTTTTGTCATATTCATTCATCTTTTGATGTCAAACCCAAAAGTTTTCAGTGTACAACCAAAAAAAAAAAAAAAAAAAAAGAGCAACTGGTCTTACTGTGCAATACTTTAAAGGTTATCATTGTTTACAAGGTTGCATTTTCAATTAAATCGTGCCTTTCGGAACAGCCGCTTGCAAAATTAGCTTGAATCTTTGCGTGGCGGGTTTCTGACATGCACAATCTGCTTTAAAATGCATCGCAACAAAACTGGGCTTCTAAGTCTAACAGCATGTTTATTTCACAGTATTTCCTAGTGTTTTACAAATATTAGGAAGAAAGTCCATTTTGTAAATCCAAAATCCATTTTGTAATCCTCACAAGGTTCGCGGATGTGCTCTGAACTGGTTGCCAGCCAATCGCAGGGCACACATAGAGGAACAACCATCCGCGCTCACAATCACACCTAGGGACAATTTAGAGTGTTCCATTAAGCTGCCATGTATGTTTTTGGAATGTGGGAGGAAACCGGAGCACCCAGAGAAAATCCAGGCAGGCACGGGAGAACATGCAAACTCCACACAGGAAGGCCGGAGCCAGAATCAAACCCTGCACCTCTGCACTGTGAGGCATACTAACCGGCCGACACCGTGCTGCCCCCCCAATTCCAACCTTGGGTTAATCGGATCATAAAGAAAATTAAAAAGAAAAAAAAAAAAAAGAAAACCAAGTCAATCGCGTTGTACAGGTAATATGTCACATTAATCGTGAAAAGTTTTAAATGATCATCCTTGCCTCATTTATTTATATCACAAAAAAAAAAAAAATGCATTCGAAAAGGGATGTGGAGACATTTTTTGAACCATTCTCAAGCACCGATTCTCACATAAAACTTAATGATGTGTCACTCCTGGCTGTTTTGTACAAATTGTAAACAACACTCACGTTAGTTGTTGGTCATGATGAAAACACGCTGCCACACAGAAGCATTTCAAAAGTCGTGGTGAGTAATGTCAAAGCCAGGGCCAACTTTAATCAACTCACAATTGTAAATGCAGTTAAAGCACAGCGACAATTTAGTTCTTTGGAAGTTGATGTGCGCGGGAAGTACAACAACATGACCTCGTGACCATGCACGTGATCACCTTTAACGCGACATTTGTAACCATCCAGTCGGCTCAGACACATCATACGAGGCGAAGAGAACCGTCTAAAACACAAAAGAGCATACAGACGGAGAAAGGGAAACGTTGGAATAAAGCAGAGAATTTTGAATACGAGAAGGCACAGGACTGACATTTAGAAGGGAGAAGACACGCCGTCATTGGTTTCACAATTGTGGAAGCGTTGTGTAAACAAACATTTGCACAAGTTGGCTTGAGTCACATGTTTTGTTTTTTTAATTCTAGGAACAGGTATTTGAAAACAATGAGGTTTTCCATCTGTTGAGTCGTGAACTCCATACTTAGTTATTTCAGTGGTGCAGAATGTATACGGTAACTCACTGAGAGCCTATCCATCTCCGTTTTTCTGTAAACAAAAACAACATACAAAAATCTCCAAAGTGCTAGATAAGCTTCAATAGATGGAGGAGTCCCCTGGGAGGATTTTTGGTAAAACAGGTTACGGCAAAAGTGGCAAATTTGCCAGCATCTTTTGTCCACAATAACAAAAGTGAACTAAAATAAACTAAAGTAAAATAAAGAGTCTTTCAGTTCTAGAAAGAACTGAAAGGGCTGATTTGACGCCCTTGTTTTGCTGAGACTCGACAGTAGATGGCAGCAAAGTACAGACTAAATACAAAGACGCATCCAGTCTGAACAAATGGTAATTTAAGCAAATTGCACATTCAGTCCACGTTTTATTATTATTATTTTTTTTTTTTGCTGCTGCTAAATCCTTAAGGCGGTCCTCAAATATAAAGTGCATGAAGGCAGTCAGTCATCATGACCTGAGTAAAGCAACTCCAAGTGTGCTGCAAGAGCCACTCTAAGGATCACTTTTGAAAACATCCAGCAACCATTTGACATTTTGAGCGGCCTGACATCTCAAGTCAAGCGCACTCGCTCTCGCCAAAAATGAAGTTAACTTCAGTTTTGCTCATGTCCTGTATTTCAATGAAGTGGTGTGCAAATTACAGTGGATGCTCAACCAAGGACTTTGCTTCGATTGCATTCAATTCCATTTAAAAGTGAATAAAAATCCGCTTTTACTTTCACTTTATGTGTGCGCACATTCAAAGGCTATACCATTGAAATTACATCCTGTTTTGGTCCAGTATTTGGGAAACATGAAGTATGTTCGGATGCTCCAAATAGACTTTCTTCTGGATCAAAATGGGAAAAATTCTGCTGTGAGTATTTGGTTGAAGGTTAGGATTTGAACCTTTGGGAGTCTGCACATTTTTACCCGAATCACATCGTTGTCACATCAAGTCATGTTCAACTCACAACCAATTAGAGAAATAAAACACACACGCCAATGTCTTTGCTAAAAAAAAAAAAAAAAAAAAAAAAAAAAATCTTGACAGCCATCGATTCGATTCTCAGTCATCCAGATCACGGTAATCCACAAAGGCTGAAACAAGGCTTCTTGCGTGTTGAATTTGTTGTGATTTTTCTTTTCTTGTTTTCCAAAAACATAGAAAAGTGACTTGGGCAGATATGCTATTTAATTAATAACATGTTCTCGGTGCAACCTAAAAAAATAATAATAATATTAAAAAAAAAAAAAAAATTAAAAATGTGAAAAAATTAAAAAACAAACAAAAAAAAAAAACCTGACAAGCACCATGGTGTTGGCAGTAAGATTTTGGTATCTCTGAGCCTGGGCCCAGTGCAATCCTACACCCACAGCACCCAAGAGCCCGACCCGCTAGGCACGGCCTCTGTTTGCATCTGCAGCAGAACGTCGTACAAGATGAGCAGCAAGGGCAAAGTCAAGCTCAGTAGCTCGTACAGGAAGGCATAGTCCCGGGCGTTGTCGCTGAGGTGTCTAGCGAAGGCCCGTGCCCCCCCTCGCACCTGGCGGCACGCGCGCCTCGGGGCGCCACACACGGCGCGCGCCACATTCAGGGGCCTGCTCAGCTGCTTCCGTAATACAGAGCTGAAGGTACCTGCTGCAGGCTGGCTCTGCAGGGCCGCTGTACAGCTGGACGAGGCGCCCTCTTCCACAGCACCACATCGCCCCTCAAACCGACTTCCAAAATGATTCTGGAACAGAGACATCGGGGATCAGCAGTGACAAGTAATGAACTGCAAATGCTGTACAAAAACAACCACACATTTTTGTCAAGTGTTTTCAATATAAAAAATAGCACCTGCAATATTATGCTTCCTAAAAACATACAATGACAATTAAATAGAACTTAAAGATTTAAGCAGAGTTTTGCCACTTTTTTGGTTTCAATTCAGTAGACATTGTGCCGCTCCTCCTTGTGTGCAAGCTTTGGCCACAGGAGGCAATACATACATACATATATGCATGTTGACATACATAGAACTAGTCAAAACTATGCAGCAAGCTGCAGTAATAATCAAAGCAGAACCGACAATAAGTCGCTGATGGTGTAGAGGTACACACGTACAACGTGGGATCAGTTCCCACTCAGTGAGGTTGTGGATGTGGGCGTGAATGGTCGCTTGTCTTTATATGCGCCCTGCGACTGACTGGCAACGAGTTCAAGTTGTTGTCTGCCTTCCGCCCAAAGTTAACTGGGATAGGCTCCAGCAGCGCCCTGCGACTCTTTTCAGGATAAGCAGTGTTGAAAATGAATGGCTGGGTGGAGTAATAATCATAATAGTAAGAGCTGCAAGTAAGCATGACAAAAGAGAATCTGTTCTCAATTGTTGTATCTCTCTGAATGAAGGTTAAATTATTAGATATTCTTCACAGAGAGATGTCTGTGAGCATTATTACATTATCTATGTGGCACGCCACATTTCATGTCTAAATAGTTGTTGCTTAACTCTTTCAGGGACAGAGGTTACTACAGTGGACAGATTATCATGTTATCAGGTTAAAGGGTGCATGAAGGAGTTGAACGGTACTAACACCGCAAGATCAATGTTATTTGGCAGCCTTTCAATTGCGTTTTGCATTGTTTATTAACCTTTAGCTCAACAGATTGACCTAAAGCAAAGCTATGTGGCTGTTTTAACTACACAGCATGTATTTCTCTGCGTTTCAAGGTTAGTTTGACAATGACGGCTCCATTTGAAAACGTCCACATTTGCACACATCCACATTTGCGGCACTCATATCTTACCAAGCGTGTCGACACATTCCTATGCAGGCTTGTCCCGTTGTTAAGTTGATCAAAGTGAAGCTTGCAGTACAATTTACCTGTCAAAGTATATCAAATGTTAATATGAAGCCAACCAAATCATTGGGTACACCGGCGTAATCCAACAAGATCTGTATTAACTGTAAGATAATAATGCTCATTAAAGTAACACATTTGAGTTTTCTGGCAGGCTTTTGCATACATTTCCACGATTGTAGCAGGAAAAGCAACGTCAAGTGTTCATTCATTTGCGACTAATGAAGACAACAGGTAGTGAAGTGCAGGCCTCCTCCCCAATGGACTTGTCTATCTTCCAGCGTATGTGCAGATTTGATTTAAGAAAACTTTGTTTCGTTTTCTTAAATCAATTCAAATCTGGAAGATACTTGTTGCTGCGGTTCTGAGGAAAATCAGCAGCGCTTGCAGTTAATGCATTTTTAAATTTTGCTCCAAATGAAAGCCAAACATATCCAACATTTCAAAATGTCGCAAAACAGGAGTTACCGGTTGAAATGGGACTAGTACAAGTCAGACATGTACTAGTTTCCCAAATTCAATTTTTTTTTTTTTTGGTATGTCAGTCTGCTACCGGTAATTGAATGGCACAGACGCCACTCTGTTAGGCTCATACTGTACATTTTTGAATGTGACACTGGTAGTGCTTCACCAGCCATGAACCTCAGTGTACGTCATTGCCGCAAGATCATGTAAATTCTAAATATGCACTCTCTAGAAAGGTACACGTTCACATTTGTAACCAATTTCTGCCTCGATGAAGATTATAGTGTTTATATTTTTGACATTGTCGGATCATTTGTACAGTACTGCTGTTTTTAACACCGCATACTGAGACCAAAATATAGCGCCAAAATGGTCACCTCTTTGACAGTGTCAAGCAAAAATGAGCATTTATTATCTTTGTTCAGATTGATTTTCGAGCTTTATGAGTGAAAGTGCTGGTACCGTGTTGAGAGTCAAAGGCATGTGATCCCTGGCGCAGGGCAGAGCTGCAGGTGGTGCAGCGAAAGCACTCCCTGTGGAAGTAGAAGCCCTCGGCACAAATCCGCTCGACCAAATAAACACGCCGCTCGCATGAGTGGCACTTTTCAGCCGACTGGGGGAACGCCCTTTGGACCGAGCTGCCCTGAGGACCACATAACACACCAATGATCAGGACAGATTTGGAAGACTTCAAGATTTCATCAACCTCATTAAAAGGAACGTGAACTTCAAATGTGATTTACTTTTAGAAAACACAAAAGTACTGTAATGTGTGTTTTAATGAGGAAAAGTAGCACTCCGTGATTGTACTTTTTTCGAATATACGGTAATGACATAACTCAGCTGTTTTCATCACACTGTCGGAATGCTACTGGTGTGACTGCATTGGCCACCTGAGGGCAGGGCAGTAATGTTCACTGAAGCGTTACTTTATGAGAAATCCCCAGCAGTTCTTGCCTCTTCTCATATATGTAATGCAGTCGGCCGCCCACGTCCTGCCTAAAACTCCATTGAAATCTATAAGAACATTTCGATACCCAAGCTCATCATTTCAGGCACTAATATAAGTCATTCTTCTTAGAGGATAAAGAATACATTTTATGACTGTGAGTACAGTTATATATTGTCTGTCAAATGTTGTTACCGAACCATTTGTGTTGCTCCAAGGGTTTAAAGAACCAAAACATACTGTAGAATCTACAGTGCCAATTAATTAGCATTAGCATGAAGCTAGCAGGACCGCTCTGGTGGCAGTTGTTTGGCTGTTTTCTAATACATTCATTATCTCAACCCGCTTATCCTCACGTCTGCGGGTTTGTTTGCTGGAGCCTACAAGATGGAAGTATGCTGAAGCCATTTTGTTGATGACTTGTTCACTTTTTGCCAAACTGCTGTGTCCTGTAAATTGTGTTGAGTTCACTGCCACCGTGCACCGCCAAATCTACATTCTTAAGTTAAAGTGAAAAAAGTCATAAGTCGAGCCACTCGTATCTCGTATTCTTTCTAAGGGATTCACATTTTTGGGGTGGCTGACTGGGAATCAGAATCAGAAGTTTGAAAACTGGTCTGGTGCAAGCAGTTAAAAAAAAAAAAACTGCCACAGTTTGAGGATGTAAATTTAGCCAAGACATGACCCTAAAATGAGAGCAAGTTCCTTTTCTAAAATCAAAATCCAATGCCAGGCTTTTCCATAATTGAATATTGATTTAATATTATGGCTTTATTTTACATTAGAACATAGCTGTCTAATATTTAGGCTCCAAATTAACCCCTTCATGCACCAATAATGATAACCTGTAACCTGAGAACATGATAAGATGGCCACTGCAGTGACCGCTGTCCCTGAAAGGGTTACGTTTACCTACACGGTAGGGGAAAAATATTTCCCTTGCCCAAAAAATTTTTGATACAGATGAACCTAATGTTGTGGCTGTTGCTACACGCTCAACATTATTGAAGCACACTTAAAGCGTGTGTATTAAGCTCTTCAATTATAGTGTGTTGTCATTTTTAGTGAAAGGACCAAAATAAACCCTTTTAACAAATTCAGGCAGTCTGTGAAACCCCATGCCACAATGTGCATGCTCAGATCAAACAGAAGGGGGAGACATCAACCAACATAAAAAGCTTGACTCACTTGGAGTGGAAAACATATTTACAGCTAGTTTCTTATCATGTTTCCAACTCGATCAAAAAGTCTAATTATTAGCAGTCGGAGTAAAAAGCAAAAATACGAACATGTACAAGTGCAACCCGTGAAAACTGCTTAGACATGTGGATGATGTTGCTTTACAGCACTGTATGGGATGGGTGGAGTAGAAACCACAAGGAAACCAGCGGGCACGCACACACACTGGCAACCACATTCTCCTCCTTTATGAGGTCCTGCTGCTGATCGAAAGCACACGTGCAGAAAGAGCCGAGAGGGCAAAACCAACATGTGCATAGTGCTACATTGCAGGATGCATTCTTGTTTGTGTGTGATGGTGACAAAGAAGCAGTCAACGTATTAAAGAGTGCACATCAAAGAAATACGCAACATTTCACGGAAGCAATTGTTTGCACACGCTCAAAAGTCTTCCATCCCAGTAGTATGACAATAACCATAATCTTTTGAACATAAAATAAACACGCATGCCACAAGAGTGTCCAAACATGCAAGCAAACACAAGGCAGGGGGGGAGGGGTCAAAGGGTGAGCACGCTATAGTCACCTTGATAACAACAGAGCTGTCTGCTGAGATCAAACCGCTGAGGTGAAGCGCTTTCTCCTTTATGCTCTTTGACTGAAATTCTCTTGCTTGTTGCGACTGAGCTTTTTTCTAAAATGGGAAGCGGGAACCAAAGATCAGTCTCGCCGCTTCTGTCTGATGACACAAAATCAAGTCGCTTCTGCACATTCACAGCTGAAAGGAACAAGACACTCTCATCTCCATTCACTATGGCCAACAAAGTGAAATGTTGACTCTACTGTTAGTTCTACAGTTAAAAGTTTGACAAACAAATGTGTGTAGGACAATAGGAAGATTCGATATAATGTTCACACGGCACCTGCTGTGAAGATTCAAGCGGTGGTGGAACACAAACGTGAGAAAGCCACAAAAACCTGACATAGGTTTGGACCAGGCAAAAGAAGAGAGTTTCAAAGAAAAAGGGACTCAGCCCAAACATACCTAAAAAAATCGAAAGTCCACAACCTCTTCACACCCCAATTTAGTGTTTAAAACAGACTGTATATGGCAGCAAAGTGCTACTTTTGTCTAAATGAAGCTCCTCAACTCACTTCCCCTTTGCACAAAATGGCCACTAAGCATTCCTTTTTTTTTTTCTTGATGATGCTCTTTAAAAATCACTTTCTCATGTCTCAAAATTCTGCTCACAAGTAAATACTGTGCATTCATCCATCCATCAATTATCCGAGCCGCTTATCCTCAGGAGGATCGCGGCCGTGTTGGAGCCTACTCCAGCCTGAACCGATTGCCAGCCACTCATAGGGCACACGTAGACAAACAACAACCGTTCACGCTCACAATCACACCTAGGGGCAATTTAGAGTGTCTGATTAACCTACTATGCATGTTTTGGGAAAGTGGGATGAAATGGGAGTACCCGGTGAAACTCATCCAGGCTCAGGGAGAACATGCAAAATTCACCCTGGAAGGCCAGGGCCTGGAATTGAATCCAAGGTCTTTGTACTGTGAGGTGAACGTGCTAACCAGTCGACCGCCATGCCACGTTCCCAAGATATTGTTTTCCAGATTTTACTGCTGAAATTATAAATTGTCATTTTAACATGGATTCACAGTATAAACTGTTCCCTTTGCTTCAGTTTCTATGTTTATTCTAATGTCATCTGGTTTGGAGCGGATGGCTTCATATTACAACTTGGATTTTTTTTTTTTTTTTTGGACAACAAAAAAAAAAAAAATTGCAAATACATGCTAACTAACAGCAAATGACATCACCAGAGGAGGAGCAGATGGCCCACCTTGTAAAACACAACCAAGACCTCATGGATTACATTTTCTTCATGAAGCCCTTTTACGTCAAGCTATTCATCTTTATTTCTTTTCTCCCTTCAGTAAATGTAATTCGGTACAATAGCCAGAGGGAAGCCTATGCTTCACCAAAACTGCACTACACACACAAATACGCACTCACACACAAACTTAAGCCCGTAATCGGCCACAACCTGTGCCAAGTTTGCTGGCCTGCTCCTGTCGTGTTCCAACTGGAGGGATATTTATGGGGATGATCTCACTATCTGACTGCATGTTACACAGGGTATATATACTATATAATCCCCATTTCTTCACGTTCCATCACAACATGCAAAAATCACACTGAAGGAGAAGGTGTGGAAGAGGGCATGAGCGGAAGAGAACATTTCACCTCACAGATGAGTTCATCCACCTCCTTGAGGCGCTGCAGAACTCTGGACATGAACGTAACCGCAGAGTGGACGTAGGGCGCCGAACACGCTTGGCTCTCCAGTTCTGGTGAGGTCTTGACCTGCTCGTGTGTCTGAGCCACATGTCTGAGCTTGACCATAGAGAAGCAGTGCTGCGACTGAGGCGGGAGCTCTCGGGCTTTGAGTCGAGGCTCCGTGGGGATTAAGTTTTGTGCCACCCGTCTGATATCGAGTTGAAACTGAAAAGTGATGATACACACACACAGTCACGGACCTAAAGAACGACGATCATTGACGGAACTGTACCGGTGGTTTTACATGCTTGAGCCCGTCACTCGACTTCTAAACGCGGCAGTCAAGCTCAAAAGCCAGATCCGGCCCACCATGTCATTATAAAGTCATTTATGTGGCCAGCAAGACCTTTTTTGTAAGTTGATGGAGTTATTATTAGTCTTTTTGGGTAAAGGACAAGAATAGCTGTTGCATGTTCAAGCCACCAGGGGGTTGAACCGAATGGTTGAATAATTTTCTACATCAATGTTCAAAGATTGAAATCAGTGAATTGCTAATCACAGGTTTCTGCAATGTCGTCTTTCAATTTGCCTCTCTGCTGGCGTCGTCGGACTATGAGGCTCTGTGGAGCAGCAAAATGTCTGGCCAACAAAGCGACAAGAGTTATCTTCCGTCTGCATAGGTCCAAGAGTATGAAAATAAAATGATTCTGGATGAGAATAGTGGTTAGCCTCACAAGGCTCGGGTGTTCCAATCGCCGCTAGTTTCAAAATGTTGACACCAGCAACAGGTAGTGAAAAAATATAAATGATCTCATCGATTAATCGACTTCGACTCGACTGTCATCACATTAGTGTCAAAGACAAAAAAGTTGTTTAGCCCCTATTAGCCGCATGTTTAGTCTGTAGAAAAACAGTCCCGCTATGATTCTGGCTAGCGGATCTCATCATGGCTAGCCCTGAGCTCTCGGCATAACGAACAAACTTGTCCCCATCGTTCATTTGCTAAAGATACAAATGACTGATAAGTTGCACTTTCCTCCCTCAAAATGAAGAACTGAACTGCGATTATTAGCAATTATTCATTCATGCGGTTTCGCCATTTTCACCGGTCCCCTGAGAGAAGCCATGACTACGATTTGGCCCGTGATGAAAACACAATTGATTTCCCTGAGTGAGGTTATGCCAGCTGACTTCTTGAACTGATTAGTCAGTCACAGGGTCATCGTTGAAAGGGCATTGATCGGAAGAGATGCCTCACAGAACTGAGCTATGTGAACCACTACCATGTTGCAGCCCACGAACTAAAAAAAAAAAAAAAACGAGTGCATTTGAACAGGATTTGGATTGGTTTCCTTATGCAATCAGATTTGAGTGATAATCCATCACAGCGATTTTACTGCCAGCTGATCTTTAGAGGAGGATCAAATGATGCAATCAGCTCAATCAAGATGTGACTAAAACTTTGTAAAAATTTTGCGCTTCGAGTTCCTACGTGACCTCTTGCAAAATGAAAACAATACCTCCAATCACTTTTACGACAATACGACAATACCAATTTTTTTTTTTTAATGCGCATCAAGGAAATGTTGAGTTGGACCCAGGGACATATTAACCCTCCTGTGACCTTCAAGTTCCCTAACATTTCTATCCTTGGATGAGTGATATTTTTGCGTGGGTTGTTTATGTTGAAAGGCTTCACTTCATTTAATGGGGACAACTGGGAAAATGAAAATCACATGATATATTTCAGTCTGTGCTGTCCTGTGCGCATTGATGTTCAACGCATCGGTGCTCTTTTGGGTCAATTTGACTCAAAAACGTCAAAATGTCTTCACGCTTCAGACAAAAAAAAAATATATTTCTGCAATGTTTCGATTCAGTCACAACAGCATTAATCCACAAATCTTTTTTTTTTTTTTGGTCAAGCCTAAGGATAAATTCTATTAATTCCAACTGTACAAAAAAAAAAGCCCACCTTCTTCCAACTACTATTGATTATATCCCACCTGAGAGGCTGCAGAAATACAATACTGTATTACATTTTAATAATAATAATAATAATAACCTCAGGTATAATCACGGGATATTGCACCATGAGACAAATGACAGAATAAAGAAGGGGAAAAAATCCAGGAGAAAAGCAAAGAGGAAAGTCCATTTCCCTGAGGCATGACCACCACTGCTAGTGGATGCAGATAGCCGCGGTTTAACAGTCATATCAGCGGATGTTTTCGGTCAACCCCATGCTGGTTTCAAGTTTCAACAGATTCCCCTCACTAATCACGTTGTGAGGACCGCATACTGCCCACCTTTTTAAGGATAGATCCTTAGGTAGATTGCGATGCAAACGATTTCTGTGGAAGGCAGTGTTTCAATGACATCCATGATGGATGCTGATAAGTGAAGGAAGTGAGGGCTAAAGAATGTAAAAAAGAAAAAAAAAGAGCACTTTCCTCGAAATAAGCTGAATGGTGGGAAAATGTGCTCTTGTCTGGATGTTTTCATGCTGTCTGTTGGAGGATGGATCCAGTTTTGTGGTTGCATTCTCTCTTGTAGCATGCATAAATGTGAATGTGTATATGGTGGCTGTTTTGTGTTTCCCAACTGCAATCTGGCTTCATGGCTCTACCTGTATCTCAGGTGGAGGCTTGGGCGGGATGGGAGGCGATAATTTAAAGTGCTCGCACTCAGCAGAGATGAGCGTTTGAAGAGGGGAGGAACTCTCACAGTCTGACTGGGATTTGGCAGAAAGGTTGGGAAGAGAGTTAATAAAAAGGCACAGAGCTGGGAGAGGCTGAAAGGATCAAATGCTGGGTGTAGGAGAGCAGAAAAGAAAAAAAATAACTTTAGCAGTCGAAAAAGGAACATTTTTGGAAGAGAAACCACTGAGAACTTTTTAAGGTCCAACTCACAGCATTTGACAACAGGAGAGAAGTCATTTGTGCACAAATGAGCGGCAAAGCATTGCCTCCCTAAACGACTACAGGGAAAACTGTTGTGCAAATACAATGCCAATTTATTTGAAATAATCATAATAATAAATGTAACAGTTCACTGTACCTGTTTCCATTGGCTGTAGCTTGTTGTGCTCTCAAATTTGGCCTGCAACTGTGTAGCCATTGAGCGCACTTTGTTCTCTTTGGGTTGCCTTTGGTCCCACAATGAAGTACCTTGAGTGGACAGATTAGTGGCCTGAAAGACAGCAGAGATCTGTTGAACACACACACTGGTACAAATTATTTGATGCCATCTGTACTTTGTGCAATGTTGGTTTTCAGGGTGACGTACATCTTTTTTTACATCACATTACATCATAGGCATCATGTGGAAACCATTGCAGCAACATAAATGCTGCTGCAGTTCGTGACACATTGTTGGCTGGAACCCTTGCGTGTCCAAGGTCTTAGAGCCACGACCGATGCAATAAATAAAACGACAAACTGACTAAACAGCGTAATAGATGAAAATTAATCCCCATGCAAATTGACCTTCGTGGCTAACCAGGTTCTTACACATTTAAGCATTCCAGTTTTCCATTTTAAACAAAAGAAAACAAAATGATTATTGTCATACGGGAATTCTACCCGACAGCGATTACATGTGCTTTCTCCAATACTGCCGCTTCATTTTAACTATGGTTCCCCTTACCATTGTGACAAATTAAGGGTATTAAAAGAGTCAGGAGCAAGTACTGTTGACTTGCGGTCTAAAGTCAAATCTTGCTTTCAATGAGCATTCCACACATTTTTACAAGAATGATTTCAACAAACCTCCTCCAGGTAAGAGCAAAATTTTCTCCTTTTGTAAATAGCGTCCGTACCATCTGTCTTTTTGTCATCCTAGAAATCCAGCAGAGGTGGACAAAAAATTAGAAGTTTAATTATTAATAAAATGCATTCAAATGAGTTTATAATAAACAAAGTCACACAATATTCAATACGTACTCAATACTGTATGCAATTCAATGTTACCTTTGGAATTCGTTTCCTTGGCAGAGCAAGATTAACAAAATTATTGTTACTTCGGACTTCCTTAGATGGATAATCTTCACTATTTTCGTCCGCTCGTCTGGATCCTGCGGCACATGTGACTGAATAAAAGCTCTCAAACTTATCACGGAACCATAAACATCAAATAAGCACAGACTATAGTCAGAAGAAATCAGGAGGGAGTGCACTGATCCTGGCAAACATTTCACTCGAAATACGTAACCAAAATGTCAAGAGTGACATCAATGTGTGGATGAAGTAAAATAAAGTGAGCGGCCCCTTCTGAGAGTGTCAGTCCAGAGCCGTTCACAGCGTTGGTACAAATACACATTCCACACATCGCAGCATTCTTGACTGGTAGGAATTCATAACACACACAGGAAATCAACTGAAAAGGGAATAGATTCTCTTCGCCCGGAGTTACACTTTGTTTCTGCGTAACTTGGCAGAACAATATAAAGACGCGAACGAGAAACAGTAAATGTCAACAGAGGCGGCTTACAACATACTGCTAAGTCGAAGTGACTACAGTGCATAAGATAAGCATAGCATTGTATCATTTAATTTGGCTGCGGCGGTCAACCACAATGCTGGACAGTATGTTACAGTGCAGTACAGTCTAGTTTGGTATGGTTACAGTATACCGTATTTTCCACACCAAAAGGCGCACTGGATTATGAGGCGTCACCGTCAATGAATGGCCTATTTTGTAATTTTTTTCATACATTGGGCGCGCCACATTATAAGACGCAAGCTACAATGCATCCACTAGATGGAGCTACGCTCAAGGAAACACCAACAGAACGATCAGATGTCAGTAAAACCTATTTAATAAAGCAGCGACACAGTTTACTTAACCAACAGCAAGTTATAACATTGACTCATTAACGTTGGACTCTCTTGTCGCTGCTCGATTTCCGTGTTCAACTGCGTAACCGATCGCCTTAAGTTTGAACTCTGCATTGTCAGCATGTCTCGAGCAAGGAGCCATTTCGGGGTCGAAATATTACCGTAATGACCATACACAAGGCGCATCGGATTTTAAGGGGTGCTGGGAGCTTTTAAGAAAATGGAAGGCTTTTAGGTGTGCCTTTTAGTGCGGAAAATACGGGAGCAAAGTGTGGTACAAAATATATGGAGCATAGCATAGTCGGAGTTTAGTACCTGCATCAGGTAAAGGTGTGCCTCGGAAAAGTTCGTAGAGTTTGGATAGGTAGTTGATGATTTTGGTCTTTTCCAGCTCCAAGGAGCCGCTCGGCTCTTTCACAGATGCGAATGGTCTGATTCCAAATTCCCGCTCCACAATGTCAAAAGCCAGCTGGAGGTTGTCGGCCTGGTTTTCCTCATTCAATGACTCAAAGTCTCTGAGGGGGTAAAAGATGATAGTGACTTGTGTGGGAGGCACATTATGTACATGTCATGATGTCTCCCTGCTGCTCCGGTCTATACTCAAGTCAGTGTGTCCTGTGCATGTGTTTTAGTATTTATTGTGAGTCGGGGAGAATATTAACCATCATTGACGGTCTGAATAACAAGACAGGAAGGTGAAGAAGGAAATGGGCCTAATAAGTGACTGAAGGCAAACTGGGTAAAGGATAAGGTGCACAAAGATTTGAAAAAGGTCCTTCCTGTAAGCGCCACCTGATTGTTTTTCACAACCCAATTGGAATGAGTAAGAAAAAAAAAGTCCCCAAATGTGTAAAATGAGTCTTAAAAAATGAAAAGTTAAGCTCTTGTCTCCTCTTTCAAACGCTGCGGCCTTGTTGAACTACTACAACGACCTGGAAAAATAGACGACTTCGTCAAGCATCTGTCTCACGCCAAGACATTACGATATGTTTGAGCTGCGGAAATATATCCACTTAAAACCTCAACACCAGGTCCTCACGCATCAACGAGCGGCCAGGCTAGCACTAAGATCCTGTCCACATTCTGGATGTGACATCAGACTCCCTCCACGACGCGCCTCGCTCTTTAAATTTTTTTTTTCTTCTTCTGCGTGACATGCACACACTCACTGCCAACTTTAAAGTGGCCACCCTGGTGGACTATCTGAAGGGAAGGTTGCATTTTCAGGGCATAGGCTGCTAGTTAAAAATTAGAAAACCAAAATGGTGAAAAACAGTTTAATGGAGTACCACATGGCCCAGTTATTGCTCATGATTTCAGCAGTTATCTTCAAAGGTGCATAATGTATTCAGTAACAAATCTCTTAATTCAGTTCACTTTAATACGAGCAGAGCAGAAGCTTTGCACTGTAACATTCTTCTCTTTTATTTTTCCGGAAAAAAAAAATGGCACCAAACAGCTTGTTTAACGGTAGTCTAGAAACAGCTCGAGCATCTTAGCAAACACTGACAGTGTGCAGACACCACCAGAAATAACATTAAAGAGCGTCCTAACCTAGCAACACACACTAAGGGCCCCCCGTTTTCCCCTTTTTTTCTTTAGTTTCCGCAAACCTATTCACTTTGCAGAATTCCACTGTGCTGACAGGCGTACATTAGGAAAGGGGCGGGGGGGAGGGTGAATGCCAGCGCGTTCTTGAAAAGTTGTAGGACCACATGAAATTGCAGTGGCATGCGAGATGGTATGAAGGCAATAATTTAAGCAGGAGAGGATATAATTTGTTCTGTAAATGGACTCATCCAAAGCTGTAATACAGAGGCACAAAGCGCTGCCAGAAGAACAGAGTGTATTTAACACACGCAGCAGAGTTAGTTGTAAAGTCATAATGTGGGAAAATAAATCTTCTCTGCTGCTTTCTGACAGTGTACGTACATCAGATGGGGTTTGAACCTGTGGATCAAGGCGCACAAGGCGAGGCCACTACTCCAAGAGAAGGTCAGGTCTGTGATTGTTACATTCCTGTAACCTTCGGTCTGTTTCTGGCACCACGTGAGAAGCCTCGCCGGCCTGATTTCAGAATCTACGGAGGAGAAACAAGAAAGTTGGTTTTCACGATGAAAGTCCAAGCGGGTAAATACCGGAATGAAGGCGCCACTCCCAGGAAGTTAATGCAAAGGTCAAGATCTAGCTCACAAGTCACATTTCGTCAAGATCCACACCGCTGAATTTTAAATAGGACTTTTTCTTCAGTTTGGGTTTCAATCAGGAAGCAAAAGTGACTCTGAACTTGGCCAGTCAGTTGTTATTGCACAGTAACTCCCATTTTATGGCTTCCTCCTCGCAGTGAACCCATGTGTAAAAACAAACCACAGAATATGACTTCCTCTCTGGATGCCTGTTAGTTTTAGCTTTTAAGAAAACTCTTCAAAGGAAAAGTCAGGTGACAATGCTAAACACTGCATTGCAGCCTCCGCCGTCGTGATTTCTTTACCTCGTCTGCAGATATTAACTGGTCGCCGGATGGAGGCGGCACGCTCCAGGGAGCACGAATTCAGCTCTCCGTTCAAGTACAGGTGACGCACCTGATAAAAAGCAAAAGTTCCAAAAATAAGAGCAAGCATTTTTTTTCTCAGGTGCAAAATACATTGGAATTTCTCTTTTGCACCTGGTGAGGCCTGACACACGAGGAGATGAGGTTGGGGTATCGCGTCGCAGGGTCGATGGTGTACTGTTCCAAATTTTTGGCGATGTTCTCAGGTGTTGTTTGTGGCAGCAACCTGTAAATGCTTTCTCTAAATACACACAAAACCTAAGGTTAGAGCCGGATGCCAGGTATCGCACCGAGTGCTTGTGAATGCTGCCGATACCCATCGCAATACTAAAATAAAGTAAGTTCTGCTCGCCAGGAGTGGGCACTACACTGGGGTGGTTTGAATTTTCTCCACAACTACGGTACCTGTAATTGTGTTTCAAAAGTACTAGCGGTATCAGTACACGGTATCGGTGAATACTCAACAGTGAATATTTGTACTGGTCTCGGTTGGACAAAACGTGTGCTCTCAAACATCCCTAACTCAGATTATAAATGCAGTGAGCTCCTGCTTAGCTGGCAAGTGTGTATCACACGAGAATGCGTGTGTGTGTGTGTGTGTGTGTGTGCGCGTCGCAGGGTCGATGGTGTACTGTTCCAAATTTTTGGCGATGTTCTCAGGTGTTGTTTGTGGCAGCAACCTGTAAATGCTTTCTCTAAATACACACAAAACCTAAGGTTAGAGCCGGATGCCAGGTATCGCACCGAGTGCTTGTGAATGCTGCCGATACCCATCGCAATACTAAAATAAAGTAAGTTCTGCTCGCCAGGAGTGGGCACTACACTGGGGTGGTTTGAATTTTCTCCACAACTACGGTACCTGTAATTGTGTTTCAAAAGTACTAGCGGTATCAGTACACGGTATCGGTGAATACTCAACAGTGAATATTTGTACTGGTCTCGGTTGGACAAAACGTGTGCTCTCAAACATCCCTAACTCAGATTATAAATGCAGTGAGCTCCTGCTTAGCTGGCAAGTGTGTATCACACGAGAATGCGTGTGTGTGTGTGTGTGTGTGTGTGTGTGTGTGTGTGTGTGTGTGTGTGTGTTATGTTTTTAATGCATACCTCTCTGCTAGCAACTCAAGAACTGTTCGACCCTGAGCCCAGCCCTTTACCATCCAGGCCGTGTCAAAGGCAGCCAAGAAGCCTCTAGCGCAGCCTGTCCCCATGGGCCAGAATGGCTGCAAACGTAACACACACAACCAATATGTCGGTAAAAGCAATTGGCATGCACTTGGAAAACATGCGTGGGCCTACACCATCCCACCGAGACATTGTGGGCAATTGTATCGATTGTATCGACTCCTAACTCTGTGGCGACAGTTTGGAGAAGACCATTTGTCTGTTGCTCGCGCACAGTTGCCTGGCCACTGTAACAGAAAGTCTTCCCAGAAGACCAACTCCATATTTTCATCTTTTACCCTGGGTTAGTTTCATGGCAGGAAGATGTAATGGTCTACTTGCCCTGACTTCAGAATCCATTCAGTTATGATGTGAATGCGAGTGTGACTGGTTGACTGTCTCTATACTGTACGTGCGCTGTTTAACTGGCAAACGAGCAATTGGACTAAATCAGCTGTGATAGGCTCCAGCTCATTGCGGCCCTGAGTAGGACAAGCGCTATCGAAAATGGATGCAAGGGTGGTTTCACGGCCAGGTCTTCCAATACTGTTGTCCTCATCGTGTGAGGTCACCTTACCTCCAACAGGCTGTCTCCCACTAGTGCAACCAGGAGCTGATGTCCGAACCTCTCCCTGACCAGAGCTGCGTTCTCGGAAGCGTGCATGCTGGTGAAGTCAAACATGGCCACGTCGGGCTGGCCGCAATGGTTCATGGCAAAGTCCAGCGTGGGAAGCTGATAGTTGGTGCCAAAGTCTGCAGCCTCTCGGGCGTAGGACAGGAGAGCTTCCTGGTTAACGTTATCACTGCTCAGCAGCCTCTGTGTCTCCATGTAATCCTATCAAACAACAAGCAGGACAATGTCACTCTCATCTTACCGGTAGTTAATTTTACCTTAGTTTAGTGCTGACACTTTTTTTTTTTCGTTTTTTTAATCACACGTGTATTTCTTTCATTTCATCCCTTCATTTACTACAAATTACTAACCAAAGGACTGTTCATGCTTATATTAGCGTTTCCCAACTTTTATTGAGTCGTAGCACATCATTTACATGACAAATCTGTCACGGCAAACAATCAAACAAACGTGTTAGTATAAGGATACTTCTCATTCATTTGAACTGTTGATGGAGGATATTGTATACATCAATTGGCCACCTCATTAGTTTGCCTTTAAATTGCTAAAATTGCTGTTTTATTGACAGTGAGAAAGGTAACAATTGTTCTTTTGTTGTTGTTCAAATAAGTGAAAACATCTTTCTCCACTATCAAAAAAGGAGTAGAAGAATAACAAAAATAGGTGAATGCCCTAATCTCAGAATTGGCAAATATTTTTTACCTTACGTTCAGTACAGTAGCCAGCATGAATATCATACACCATTGAGGGACATTATTCATTCCGAGATCATGCTTGCAACTCAAAACGCTCACATCTTAAATCATCATTCCCTTTTGAAATGAATGGAAATGCCCTTAATCCGTTCCAGCAGCCCAAAAAAACACCAAAATGTTTTATGTAAAGTATTTTGAAGAAGAAATAAATTACTCTACAGTACTGTATTTGGGAAAAAAAGAGTAATCACATCATTCCACAGAGAGTAAAGAATTAAAGAGTGTGTGCATCAAGATCAAATGCTCAAATATAAGTTGCTTCAACGTGTATAACTTTTGACAGTACCATTAGCCCAGCAATGCAGTTTTGAATTCTGTGTTGTCATAAATTTCGTGAGCTAACAAGAAGTTACGTTGTTTGGTTATACTTTGTACATGACATGTAATTCTCTTTATTTTGTGTTTAGTCTTAGAGTCAACTTTAACTAGGAGTGCCAATAAACAGCTTGAAGCAAGAACTTGGCCTCTTGGAAACTCAGGCTAAACTGCTTATGTGACCAAGAGAGGAAAATGGGGACAGACACTTATTAACTCACATTAATGACAACTCCTTTATCCAGCAGGCTCTGTTTCTTTGCAGTCATGACAAAGTAGTGCGTGTTGTCCTTGTAGTACACAATGTTCTCCAGGTCGATGCCTGCGATAAAGAAAGTAGAAAAATAATCGGTGTCGTGTCCTTGAAGGCGTCACAGATCTCCTCTCTCCCACCTGTTTCTTCTTTGAGGTCAAGGAAGAACTTCTGATTGAAGATGAAGGCCACGCCACTGATTTCCTCCACCTTGGCCTCCGCCGTCGTGTTCCTGTTGATGAAATTGGCGGTAATGGCGATCGCCAGCTTGCCGCGAAAATCTTTTCTCCTGAAACCTGCCGTAGAAAAGCAGAGAATCACATTGAGAGACAAGGTCAGAACGAAGGGGAAACCAAACAAGTCCTGTGGCCTTGTGTGTGTAAAAGTAGTCTTAAAGGCTAATCACAAGGTGCTTATTTCAGGATCACAGACGGCTTACACAGCTTATAAAAACAATAACTGTGGGCCGGACCACTGATTCGTATTGAAGCAGCAAATCATGTCTTATACACTAGATCAGTGGTTCTAAAAAAGATACTCAGCTCCCTAAGGACCAACATCATGACCAACATTAAAATACATTAGCACAGAAGGGCAACACGTTTTCATCCAAAAGGAGATGTGTTATGACTAGAAGGTATATTTTTAACATTAAAAAAAAAAAATTGCTGAAATAATTATCCACATTCAAGTGTATTATTGCAATAATATCTGTCCTTAAAAGTTGAATACAACTGAACAGTACCTAAAAAAAAATACAATACTTGAAGAGCAAAAAAAAAAAAAGTACTGTACTGGATCAAATATAATTGAGTGTAATTGCATGTTTTGCCAAATTCATTTTCATCCTCTTCCCATGACCTATTCCTTGACGTATGCAACAGTCTTTCACAAAGTGATTCTCGATGACCAAACTCGGAAAACAGGTGAGCCGTGATCGGTCGTTATCTGAACCCTGAGCAACTCTGATGTCATTTTCAGTCGACCACATGTGGAAAAATGGCCGCCCCTTGAGATGGCTAAAAATCGGGTGGATTTTGCAACTTAATTCTTGTTCCACAAACACAGTACTCATCAGGATGCAGTGCTTAGAAGAGTGGGGACGCATAAGTCACATTACTGCAAAGAACATTTTTTTAAAACATGAACACGCCCCTGTTGAAATACTTTTTCCGATATACAAATTAATCAACTAATCAATACAATTACAACTAATCAATCAATTCCTTTTAAATGACATATTTATAAAGTAAAAGAATAAGTTGAAAATTACATTCTTTACATTTGTTTAAACATTTGTGTTGACTTGTCCATTAAGAAACTAAATTACGCTCCTTGGTGGAGGTAATAATAACCTAATAGTGGAGTCATTAACTTTACGATGTAAATGCCCATTGAATTGCATTTCAAAGGCTGTAGTGCATACCAAATTAGTCACGCAAATGAAGGGTTCACTTTAAATAGGCATTTCTCAAAAGTAAATAAATCAGCCTGAAACTTAAGCCATTTGAAAAATGAACAGCCAGTTTTCATTGAGAACAAAACGATCTGCAAAAAATAGCTTGTGATGTATTTTGGGCTGCTTTGCCACATTAAATCCAGTGAAAAACCCAGACCTGCTTCAGACTGACTCATTTCCTCTGAGCTGCTTCATAGCGAAAGAATGAGCCATAAGTCTTGTTTTTGACCTTTTTAGGAATACGCCTGAGTTGTGTATTGCTTGTTGGGTTGACCACAGCAAGCAGCGAGTTCAACAGAGTCCAGTGATGCAAAGTTATGCGGCGGCTCCAGTGTGCATCAGCTGCTCCACGCAAGCCTGTCTCGATTCTATTTATGTATTCCGATCCTTTGTGCTTTGACGATGTGACCGCTACAACCTCCCACGGGCACACTCGGGTTTCTGATGGGTGGATGGCAGGGATGTGTCCAAGGACCGGCAACCCGAGGCCAAGGCCAAGGCCAAGGACTTGACTCCCAAGGCCGAGGCCAAGGCCAAGGAATTGACTTCCAAGGCCAAGGCCAAGGACCAAGGACCGACCTTCGGTCCTCGAGCCGGTCCTCGAGGCCAAGGACCGGCTCGAGGAACACATCCCTGGTGGATGGCTCAGTTGGTGGGAAATTTGAAATACAGTGTATCTTTTCTTGAATGCCTATTTTAGTGTTTGCTATTTTCCGAGAGAAAATGTCAAATGTCATTAATACTTTTCACTATCCCTGCAAAAAATAAATAAGGAGACAAATATTACCATACTGTACTTTATTTTTTTTAAAATGCAGTCATAACATAATTAAATAGAATATGAAGAATGAAAAAGTTTGTGCAACATGATTACCGGTTTACAGTTTATTGTGCCTCCTTCTGGGATGTAACAATTGGCCACCGGGGGCAGTATAATGCAGTCTTGCAGACAAATGAACAAAGAAGAGTTTGACAACTACTGATTCAGTGCCCGCAGTAATATGATGCTATGCGTTCTGCATTCTTTTTATAACATTGAGCGAATCTGGCGTTTTAAATACACAACTTGTAATTGTCCGTTTTGTTTCTTTTGACAGTAAACTTCAACTGGGAGAAGCATGACGGTATTAATAAGAGTAATAGTGATGGCAGCCAATCCCGGGTGTTCGCCACCTCTCCGCCAATGTTAGCTGGGATAGACTCTAGCACACCTGCGACCCGAGTGAGGATAAGCGAATGAGAAAAATGTATGGCTCTTTTTAATATATTACTATTATTAGGAGTGACATACATTTAAAAAGACTAGAATGTGTTATTATTCATGAGTTCAAATGGTGTTAAAAATACAATCTTGGATTGAAACTAACTTTGATTCAGCAGCCATCTCGGGTTTCATCTTGCTTTCAAACATATTTTGGTTGAACAAAGTATTCCAATGCTGGTGGGAAAAGATGATTTGAGTCTTGGATGTTGTTTTTGTTTCAACCTCATGTGGTAACTTTATAAGACGTATTGTCCCCTTATCCCTTTCAAGTAAAAGTACACCCCTGAGGCGTGGACACCGTTTATCCTTCTTCTTTGGGCATCCTCTCACCTTCCAGCGTGTTCCTGCGCCCGTCGGCCCCCACCACCACGTCAAACTCAAAGTCAGCCACGGGGTGATCAGCAGGTCGGATTGCAGCTCTCCAGCCTAGCCCTGAAAATAGAAGCCGACCACAGAAGGATCAGGGTGGGTGGGAGTAGGGAAAACACGTTATATAAATATTCTCTTTGTGCCTTATTCCTTTTGGCGAAGACACAGCGTGAGAAATGTCAGCTGATCAGGATTTACGTATGCTTCAGGGACGCCACATACGAAATAAACGTTCAATTCAATGCAACTTTTGGATGCCACGCTTCTTCCCAGTTTGGGCTCAAGGAGAAGCTCAAATACGACTTGTGTCAAGACATCTTCTATTACAAACTCATTTTGAGTGGCTGCATGAGATTGTGAGGAGCACTGAAACAACCTGGCATTTTGTTGTGCAATAGGATATTAAGGACACCGCTAAGCCGCAGAGGAGGGGGAAGAAGTATGTCTAAATTTAGGCGAGGCTCTTGTTGGTTATCAGCGTATTGATATTACAGCTGGAGGCCAGCGCTAAAGTCAAACTTAGGAGTGGCCAGTCAAGTTGTTCCTCCTGTTACCATCATACAATGAAGCTGTGTGTGATGTTTTTTTTTTGTTCCCCAACAGAGTAAGCTTTCATTAATATGGAGCCTCCCACAGCTTGGTTTTGCTTTATTGTACGCTATATTTGATTCAAGAGTGACTCGGCAACAGAAAGACTCTAAAAGTTATTTTTTGCCCTGAAATTATTGATCCAAAACACGTTATTTAAAAATGTCCTTCTTTTGTACAGGTACGACAACATTTGCGTAAACTGAGGCTGATGTTGGTCAGCTGTGACCTGTGTCTAAATCAAGGAAAATGGTGGTAATGTTGGCAACGTTGAAACTGTTTTAAGGGACGGTGGCAATGCAATAAATGAGGATTTTTGTGAGCCAATGCGGAAGGGAGTTTGAAACGGTGATGAGAACTGTCTGTGTCTCATACAACATTTGCATAAGTTCCCATAAAACCATGCATTTGTTGCACCTGTTGTTTTTTTCAAAGATAATGGGGGAATCCCTAAACAGTGAATGTAAAACAGTAAAAATAAGGAACAAAACTTCGACTGAGATGAGAGCGTGCAAATCTTATGCAAAGCAAGTCATCACACATTATTTGATGGTAGATCATTTGATCCCAAAACAAGTTCCCGTTTCTCCAAAACATTAATGATTAATCATCCTTTTCTGAATGTCTCATAGGATATTAATACATGTTGAAAAAGTATGAAGTTCATAATTTGATAAAGGCAATTTTTATGAGGATATTTCTGACTCGGCATGTGTTCATGAAAAATAAACAGTATGGAAGGGTGAAGGTGCGGCAAAAGGTGAAATACCTTCCTTTTCTTGGTTCTCGGGAGGTTCCACGAGCTTGACGAACTCCACATTGATGTGAAACTCCACCGCAACAATGAGGGCCACCTTCAACAGCATCAGCTGCAGCTGCCTGATGCCTGTTGGACACAGTACAGTCGCCTTCACTTCAAAGTGGGTGAGGAACACTGCCTACTTTGCTACTGTATTATGTGTGTATACAATCTATACAGGCTGACTTTCAAGTTTTGTCAAGTTTTTCTTCTGCCTCTCAGTGTTAGACCTTCTCTCCCAGACACGCGCACACTCACAGCTGCCAATCAGGCACTCTAACACAGCCATGCCTGCGATCTATCTGAAGGGACGATGCATTAGGGACAATGCATTTTCAGGTTGAAGGTATAGCTAGCTAGCAACGTCACATATTGATATTGTGCCAGATAACGACTGATGTGAGCAGAGACGTACTGGGTCCAAAATTCGGCCCGGGAATATTTTTAGACACCCGGGGTTGGGGGTGGCTTTGGCTGCCGGGCGTCACGCACTGAAAATCATTTGTCGATGGGCGGTGGGGTTTGGTGTGGATGTTTGCTGGCACGCAACAACACCTAATTTGGGATTATCAGTCGCCAAAGGCCAAAAGCTAATAGATGGGGTTCTTGCGGTGGACATCACATTATGAAAGTTAATCGGCTATGGAGGTGGTGGGGGGTCTGCATACGGTTCGACCGGTCTGGAAATAGATCGGCCGTTCAGAATAATCAACACATTTTCTCGAAATTCCTGATGGCCAGCATGCATCGCTGTGCCTCGTTTTAGCCACTCCCCCAACCAAGTAAAACCGAGCCTGCCTATGTTAGTAGAAGCTGAATTTTTTTGATACAGTTCTTGTACTGGATCCCGTTAAATTATGCCAGTGTGCCTTATAAAGTGGCATCAAGTTGTAATGCTTGTGTACATTTGTTATCCATCCATCCACATCTTTATCTAATTTGCCTGAGAGGTGCTCTTCGCAGGAAAGGGAAAACAATGGAAAAACAATACTATGCCGAGGAATTGTTGTTTTAGCAATCACAGAATGGTGAGAAACCTCACCATTTCACAATCTCGCTTTCTAAATACCGTACAATCAGGAAAAATAACACTGAAAAAGTACAGCGTGTGACCTTTTCTTGCGCTGCTTTTTATCACATAAATAGTTACAGTGCACGTGTAAAGCATGCGGTTAAGACCCCGCATGACAAATGAAACAATTATCTAAAAAAAACAATAATAATTGGACAAATTGCCTACTGTGTCTCAACTGTGGAAACAGCCATTAAAAAAAACAAAACCATTGTTGATCGAAAAGCTCTGAACAGCACTGCATTTCATTATGTCATCTGAGTGGAGCAGTGTAACTGCAGAACATACCACAGCTGTAATAACTCCCAACCCCGACGACCAAATTATGAAGTGCTAAACTCACTGATGTGATCTATGGCCCCGGCGCAGAATTTGCCGTAAAACTTTTTGGCCCCGAGCCCCCGCAGATCCTGGATGGTGAAGGGCCAAAGGTGCAGCACGTTGTTCCTGGAGAAGGAGTCCCTCTTCTCGATCACCACCACTTTGGCTCCCATCAAGGCGAGCTCGATGGCTGTGCGCAGGCCGCACGGACCTCCTCCGATGATGAGGCACTAGGAGGACAAGTTGTGATTAAGGAGGTCTCACATTACTCACACAGGAGTGCAAATCGTCTTGCTGGGATGACATTCTGTTTTTTTTCTTTCCTAAAACACTGCTGAGTGTTAAAACACACGCGCAGAAAATCATCACTGTGCTGCACCACTCAGGAAAACGACAAGATGATATCAGCATGAACAAAAAAACAGATGAAGAGGTTGCCAAGACGAACATCTGCCAAAATCTTGTATCAGCATGAGCCATGATTACAGCCGGATATTAGCGAACGTGTTGCTTTGCCCGAGTGTCGGCCACAAAGCGCATGAAGTCACCTCGCGTGAAGCGCCGAGCGTCTGTCTTTATCTAAGAACCGGGCCCAAACATGACATCAGCTTCTTGGATGATAGATGAAAAGAAGTGACGCAAGTGTGCTGTACTCGTTCTGGAAAGCTTTTTTCTTCTTCTTTCCCTCTAAACGTTTAAACACAACTGTATATGCTTCAACGCTATGTCATTTTTTTCCCCCCCTTTTGGCGTATGGCAGGATGAAAAGAATGTTGATGGTTTTTCTAGCTACTGAAGGGATCCAGAGATTTAATATAGACTGAAATTTTGAAACAGCGGGTCACGGAGTTGATGAGAGCGTCTCTGGATATCACAACGCTAAAGAAGAATGCAGAATTAGATTATGAAATCCTGGAAGACTTTAACAATACCATCCGGTCTCTGCATTTTCATCGAGCTCTTTGCTACTTTACTATTGTAACATAGACTCACAATTTTAAAAAGACCTCAACGTAGGCACCCTGGGGCCGAACTGAAATAGGGCCTGACCAGTGTGGATTTTTTTTAAACCCTAATACATATATAAATGTGTTCATGTGTAAAAATTAAAGTAAACATTTGCCAATTTTAAGGGTGCTAATATCGGCTGATTACATCGGTCGGACCCTAGACAGAAACTACTCTATACTCTATAAAGTATCCAGAATCCGTACATAAAAATAGAAAATCTGGTGCTTTAATATCAGAATTACATACATTTAATTAATGCCTTTTGACTGATCATGTTAATTAAATAACAATGATCGTGTTATCGTTCCTTATTTCACTAAATGACAGATGTTAAGTGTAAGTATATCTTAATTTGTCTGGACATTTTGTATTAAATAATATAATAAATGGCCAAAAGTGCATTGATGTATCTGAATGTCACTCAAAGGTTTTAATGTAAAGAAATGAATCCCAACTGCAATTAAAATTGAAAAAAACATTTTTGTAAACAAAAGAAAATAAAAATGAGTGTTTGAAAAAAAAACTCCATTCTACACATACAAACTTAAACGAACTATATAATTATAATGGAAATGCCCTTTGTTTAATTTCATCAATGAGTATTCAGTGTCCATTTTAAATGTAATTATTTGGGTATTACTCTACCGCCAAACTGAAGAATTTAGGTCAACCAATCGTGTGGGAATTGCAGCCCCTTTACTTGATTACACAAAACCTATTGTGACCTTTTTTTCTATCTTTCACTTGACAAACACTTCATACATTAAAAAAAATGCAACTAATTCAAAGTAACAGACCCGCTGTAAAAACTAACACGGACCTAAATGAATTTAAAAATACAAAAGTCAAAACTCAATAAAAAAAAAAAAACTAATTCTAATGAAATCTCAAAAACTATCATAAGCCTCCTTGCAGCTCAAATTTTGGCTGGCAACACAAAGCGAAGAAATGAAAGAAATTCATAAATTGTGCCACTAATAACTCAAGGTGCAACCGGATATTTATCTGGTATCTGGATATGGGTGAGTCTCCTGCTGACCGTGCTAAAATAACAACTAGGCGAGCCAATGGCGGAAACATTTGTTTTGCAGGCGATGACACGGCTTTCGTCGCTGTTTTTCCATCTTGTTCCTAGGTGATGACAGTGTGTTTCACTTTGTGCTTATTTTTCAGGTGTTAAACAACATAGGTCACACAATGTGCATAAAGGCCTGCTAACGGCTTGACAAGTTTGTTTAACAATCACTGTAAACGGGATTTGAGTGGAAAAGTAACAAAAACGTCACTTGTCAGTGATACAGAGAAGCACTCTGTTTATTGAGTCCTGTTTCCGCTGACTGGTCTATTTGTCCCACATCAAAAGCTTTTTTTCCTGCGCATCTGCTGAGTCAGGACAACTGCACTTCCTGTCTGTCCCACTTGCAATCTCACCGTCACAGAGGAAACCTTGCCCATAAACTGTCATCTATAATGTCCACTGCCCCACTGGTGAACACGATTAGTCATAAACCCATGAAACAGCTCAAGATGGATCAACTCCATAATCGGCCCGATATAAATGTCAATGCCAGTTTAGTACAGCAATTCTCGCCGAGTACTCCAGCTCACCAGCGACGCCCCGCCGTAAAATCCAGATGACATCACGTCTTTGACAGCAATGAATTAACATTGAGTGCTGAGTGATATCACATGTTTCGCTTTTAAAGTTGTCATAAAGTCACAGACAATTTTGGTGATGTGTACAAATACAGTAGACTTTTTAATTTAATTTTTTTTTACAGGGGAACTCAGAGCAAATATATGTTCCCCCACTAGTCTAAACACAGTATTCTGATTAATATTATGGTCATGAAATAAGAATTAAACAGATTAATCTACAGATTTATATGGATCTCAGGGGGCTGCCATGATGGCGTTATTAAAACGCCTTCTCTTGTCGACTGAAATTGATGTCAAGCAGCCCTCTGGTTCGCACCGCAACCATGATATGACTAAACCCAGAAAACAGGTGGGCTGTGACGTTCGTAATTCAAGTCCGAGGGGAGTTTCATGTCAATTTCAGTCTATGGCAGAAAGTGTGTAAAGGTTGCTGTCGGCTAATTCTTCATCTTCAACTCACCTGTGTTTATAGAGGTCTTTAAAATCTGTCACAGTTATTAAGACACCTTTAAATTGTAAAATCCTCCTTTAACAGTTAATAACTGTTACACAAAATTGTCTTTTATTTTCTTTGTGCTCTTGGACACCCATTTTATTATTTCTTTTAAGCTCCAGAACAAGTAAAAAAAAATATAGAATTTCATCATTGGCCAATGAAATGGTTTTTACTTTTTTTAAATCCCCCCAAAATAAGCTCATGTCATACATCATAGATAGCTAAACAGGTAGATGGATACAGTAGCTAGATACTGTAACTAGCTAGCTAGCTAATTATGAGATTACGTAGCTATAAAGATAGATAGATAGATAGATAGATAGATAGATAGATAGATAGATAGATAGATAGATAGATAGATAGATGCAACGTTTCTGCAACCTTGATGGAACTGCAGTTTCCAGTTGGGTCTCTGGTCTATAAAGCAACATACAATAATTACATTTCAATTAGTCATGCATGGATTAGCATGAGGCCACATGCCTATTTCAGCTCAAAGTGAAAACACTAAACTTTTTCCAGATGTGGCCACATTTGCTGTACCATATTGAGCTTTTGCATGCAACACCTACACCATTTAGTGGGAATGAGTTACTTCACAGTTACTTGTAAAAAGCTACCATCGCAACTGTAGTAGATGCAACATAAAACTGTTGCTAATTGTACCTTGGTGCCCATACAAGCTTCACGTTTGTTGTACTCCTTGTGGGACATTCTCTTGTCCAGCTTGCTCCATAGCGCTTTGGCCTTCCAGGAGGTGACCTTGGCCTTCAGGCTGCCATAGAAGGAGCCGTGGTCAGCAGGGTCGAGGTCAAGCTTTCCACACAAGACGTTGAAGGCTTGCAGCGTTCCCTTGCAGGTGGAAGCCTGGACGAAGTCCTCAAAGAGCTTGCCGCCATTGCTTTCCCTCTCATCCTCCATCTCTCCCATCTTCGGACGCTTTGGTGCACCGAGGCTCGTGCTTCGTGCAAGCGCTCTGCCAGATGTGGCTACACCCGCTGGTTGGCCTGCGCCGTCATTCCCAGTCTGAGGAGGAAAGACATACAGTCTGATGTCATCCTGTGGCCAACAATCCAGACGCCTTCATTACATTGCTGCAGTGATGACCAAATTTGGATGAAAAAAAAAACATTCGCCCACCGTATTGCCCTACGACAGTTTGTGCCCCATTTTTACTTTGATGACATGGGCATTGTGCTGGTCTTACTCGTGTGCTCTCTTTGGCCACTGGGGGCAGTATAAACTGGACGACTGGCTCTGTAAAATGCAGTAATATGGGGGATTCTTTGCAAAGTGTCAGTATTGCTAAGTTGTCTGTTGAGCACTAGCCTATATGCCTCACAGGAGGAATAAAGTATCTATTTATCTATTCATCCATCCATCCATCACAAAAACCTGGAATTTGAGAAGGGGTTTGTAGATTTTATATCCACTGTAACCCTTTAAGCCCGTAAAACAAATATCTTTGAAAATAAATATCTTATGTAACTTCACTAGTTACACTTATTTTGTTCTACTATGAAACAACAACAGGCATAAAAACATGTTCTTCAAACACATTTGTCTCATGTACAACCAACCCTTGTGAAAAGTTTGAACTCATTTTGATTTCTCAGCAGTCAACCATCAAGCGTTTTTAAGGTGCTGCCAGTAAATCGGAGCCAGACCTGGAAAAAAAAAAGTAACTTCCAAAAGGTGGAGACCACAACTTCCGTGAGGTGTAAATCCTTTGATATGCCAATGTACTGTGGAGCCACATGGGCCGGCTGTGCGAGACACCGACACCCAAAGTAATCCCCCCATTAGTGTCCCACCCAACCCCGGGCCTCAGGTGGCGGTGCAATGAAACTGTTTATAGAGCGCTTTTGAGCCAGATACCAGCACGTGCATCCAGTAAACCTGAGCCGCCGCATTTAAAGACAAAGCCTGCTTCATATAAGTAGACCATTGTCCTACTGGACCCCCCTACAGCCAAAGAAGACCTTTCACCTCTGAGAGCAGACATTCAAACACAGCCAAAGCACATTCCTCTGCCACGTGCCTCAACCAGCTCTCATCTGTCCCATCAGCAGGAGAGCAATCCCAGATCACCGCCCCACTATCACTTACATTCTGCTCGAATGTGAGATGTGAATACAATTGTTTTTGTCTGACTTTTGCATCAGGCAAAGCTTTGCGGTCATGTTAAATACACAACATATACTTCTTTGTTTTCTGTGTAGTTTGACAGTAAACTTCAAGTGGGATTGACAATAAAAAGCTTGAACCCAGTTTTAGGTGCCTTTAATACACTGCATGCTACATTTGTACTGTTAATACTCATAATTAGTTCATCTGATTTGCTCCCAAATATTTATAATTATATCCTGCCATCTTGTTTACAGCTCTCCGAGTCCCCTTTTGTTGTTCATCTCATTCAACCACCGGCCTGTGGCAGGACCACCGCTCAGACATACACAATATACATGATGAGTGATGCAGTTTCAAGCATAGTGGAAAAAGTGCATTTTAACATGGTGGTTGCGGTTGACATAACACCCATCATGGTGAAGTCAGAAGGTGATTGAAACAACACACTAATGAGCAACTGTGAACTCTTAACTACCAAATAATAATTGATTTATTTCTCAATATTATCAGAGCTCTTAAATCTCTCAGCTGTTGTAGAACATTCATAAAAAGTCGCATTGACAGCACTCAAAGAGTCTGCTTTTGTTATTCTGTCCAAAAAAAAAAAAAAACGGGTAGAAATGAAACCATATGCACGCAGGCTAATGAAACGCTACCACTTGAACGTCGCCACCGCCAAATCAAAGCTCTCGCTAACTCGAGATCATCTCGACTCAAGTAGCGTGGACGTGACCGCCGCACGCTGACAGAATGGAAAAGTCACTTGTGGGCAGACGCGGCAAGGCCGCAGCACGGCTGTAAAAATAGGACTTAATGACAGACGAAGCGGAGGGAATACACAGCATACATCACAGTTGGAGCGTGAAATGTCTCGCGGCGTCACACAGTTTCCTACAAAGTAGATTTTAAACATCTCATTGGGTGACACAGTCACATGTCTCACCTCAGTCAGCAAGAAAGCCAAATTGTTAGTTTTAGACAGTAAGACTCGAGATTTATTGTCAAAAGAAACACAAGCGTACTATTACGTTAATTGTTCAACTACTAGTGGTTGTACAGACTTGTCGATTTGACTTTACGACTCCACAATGGTGTTTCGAGTCGGGTTGAACAATTAATCAAATTCAAATCGATGTCACAATGTAGAAAGCAGTTTTCAAATTGCAAAGGCTGCAATTCTGAAGGAAAAAATTCAATTCTGCTTCATTTTGGTCAGTCGGTAGGTTTTATTTTATTTATTTATTTTATATATAGGATATGAATCCTTCCAGTATCTGAAAACGCTTATCCTCACCAGAGTCGCTAGCGTGCTAGACCCTATTCCAGCTGTCTTTGGGGAGTAGATTGGGTACACCCGAATTGGTTGCCAGCCAATTAAAAGGCACATACTGTATAGCTAGGACGAGGTATGATCGCTTGCTGCAACAAAAGAGTGTGCTTAATAAAATTAGTGCTTTAATTGATTTAAATTGACCCAGTTTTGCGACCCAGAACAGGAGTATTGAAAAAGCAAGACTCGAGCAGGAAGTTGAACACTTTTCGGCCCACATCATCAAAGTAGGAGAGCAGTGACAACCCGTTCAGAAATCTGTGGAGCCTCAGTAAAGCCCCTCCAGCATTTTATTTAATATTCTGAAATATATTCATAATTCTTTTTCTCAGCTCCACTATGTATCAGTCAAGCCCCCCTTTAGCCCCGGGAGAGAAAAAAAAAAAATCATGGAGCCGTGCTTGAAGGAGAGGGGGAATTTTCCACCGCATACAAAGAAGTCCGAGATTATTTGCATCCATCCATCCATTTTCTAATCTATATCACTTATCCTTGTTAGAAATATTGTAAATTCCCACCATGCAGAAACCATTTGGCCAAGCTATGCAGCTGTTACCTGGCTGTGTCAGCAGCAATCACATCGAGCAAGACTATTTTTTTTTAACTTCATCTGGAAATATCATCATCACAACGGAGCAGGCAAATACTTCACCTTGCCCATATTGATGTATGTTTTGCGTGGTGCATGACAAAAAAGATTATAGCAAAGTATTCCCTCTTCCTCCTGAGTTTTTTAAATTATAGCACTGTACCCCCCCCCCCCGCACAAAAAAACAAAAACAAATACCCCTAACACCTACCCTACAAGTCATTGTTATTGCTTCACTCTATTAAATTACACAAGCAATCATAATTGTTCTGCAATCTAGTGGGAACTAATACAAACATTGGACTTCAAAGCCTGCCTTGACACTATGTCATGTCTTAAAACAATACATACTTTTGGTTTAATTGAAAACCCATAATGGGTGTGCTTTTATAGAGCAGGGCAATTTTAACCAACATCTCCAATCAAGTCACATTGACGGGACTCTAGCATGGCTCACTCCGGGGTTCGCATACTTTTTCAATCTTGCACTGTCAATGCTTACATGGTGTGACCAAAGGAAAAAACACCAGAAAATATACATTTGTTTGTGAGTTAATACTTAAAGCAAACCGTTTTTAACTATTGTTTTGACCTGGAGGAAGGTCAGAACGCATGACCTATTTACAGTATGTAAAAATCCAGGTCATTCCAAAGGGTTCACATACATTTTATTGGGTCAATACACTGACTGGCCACAAAATTACGCCCGCACTCTATAAAGCAAATCATTCATGAAGCAATATAATGTAATGGAAAATACCTACTAGATGGGTTTCGGTATGATGCAGGGCAGTTTTATACCACTACAAAATACATCCACAATAATAACCATAATATGAATTTAACATTTCCCTCACAGAGTCATTGTACAGTTCAGTCTTTATATTCTGGTACTTCCTTAAATTATGTACCTAGGGAATTGAGACAATTCCAATTCAGATTGTTGGTCATTTACATGACTACCACAATCCAAGTACATTATGAGCATAAAAGACATGTCATGTGTGAAACAGCATCATGCCCCCCCCCAAAAAAAAGAACGATGGAAGGAACATTGTTTTACTTGACGATGTCATCAAATAACTGACTTCACCCTATTTATAGCATTTCAACATGGGCAAATCCTCCAAGGCAGCCAGCTAGCTGTCTAGCAAGCTAGCTAACCCATCGTTGCATATGCCTGCTGTTATCAAATACAAACGTGCCAATTTAATACCACAGAAGCTAAAACAAATATTTGTGTGGATATACTGTACCCTTCTTTTAAGGCTTACTGGACAACAAAAGGACCACTCCCCAGCAGGAAATAAGACATACTGTTTTGGTGCTCAAAACAGGACCCGGTTACGTAACCCTTATGCTTCTTTTCCCTTGCAGATAACTTTTGGCAGCATTCAAACACTCTGAAGGACATTTTAATGGGAATGCAGAGCCTACAGAGTAACATAAAGTACACCGTCCAAGTAAAATAGTGGACACAATAGATGAGAATAGTAGTGTTAGGGAAGAGGTCATCAGAGTTGACCCAATAGTTACATCCTAAATGAAGACAATCAACAGAAACTTGGACTCCAAGAAACCAGAGGAGACGACAGAGACGTGATCATCAAGTGAGCAAGCAGTGACGCAATCACCATGAGAATACAATAGGAAGCTGACGGCACAAAGGAAAACATCGGGAGTGCTGGGAAATGCATACACGCACACACACGCAGCCAGCCAGCCAGCACACGTAATTACAGACTGGGCCTTAGAAAACCAGGAAGGAACCATCCGTTTGGCCTGATAAGCAAACACGGTGCCAACGGGCTCCGTCCATCAACATGAAGGTCACAGAAGGTACCAGTGTTATTTTATCTCAGCTCTGTTATCAGGCGAGTGTCGAGACAACTACAGGGGATTTCTCATGAATACAGTATGTTTTATTTTTAATAAATGAAGGGAACACACAGAAGCAAGAATCAGTAGACACAGAGAGGCTCTCGGTTTACAACAGTCCCGAAATACGTGATGAAAGGCACGCAATGAACTATTGTGGTGCCTTGTCTTTTAATTTGTTCCGTTACCATTTTCATAATGTAACCCAAAAAAACAAAAACAAAAAAAAAACACATTCAAATGAATGGAAATGCAATTAATTGGTTCAAGCCTCCCCCCAAAAAATACCACTAAAAAACAGCAGTCAACAGCATTGTACTTTATATAAACATACAGTAATAACTTCACTAAATAGAATGTAACAAGTAAAGCATCATGCTTTAATGTCTAGTCACACTGTGTTGCTTATTTTGGGTATAATTCCACCTTTGGTATTTTGCATTTTGTGCTAGCATTAAGTGGACTTTCCCAAGGCAAATTATGTGGTTTGGTTATATCCACGATGTGTAATTCTCTCTTTTTAATCTTTGGACAGTAAACTTTAACTGGAAGTGGCAATACATCCAGGATCTTGTGAGAAAGCACTTGGCCTCTTTTTTTTTTGAAGAATTGTTCGCTACTGCTTACCTGCTGCTTGTTGTGAAGTTCGTTATCAACATCTAGCCAAAGTCCATGAGTAACTGACACCTGCCCTCAAGATTTTCTGCTTTTATTTTCCTGTAGATGGCAGGGGATCGAGGCAAAACACTACTCTTCAATTAGACACGGCACAGGCCTGACGAAATGAAGCTCTCCCCACCCTCACTTCAACATAGTTCCCGGGCAACAGGATGTTGCCAAGGACCAAACAGTTACAGGATAATGAAAGTAAATGCTAGGTCTGTTGGGAATATTTTATGTGAACTTCCATAGCAGTAAAGGGGGGGGGCAACGGTGCAACCGTTTGCCAAGAATAGACGACTTTATCAGTCAACAATGATTTGAGGCCGGCTCAGAATAGACAAGTGTTATTGGGTTGCAACACATGGCCTATAAAAGCTATCTACAAGACAGCATGTAAACAAGATACAAACATTGGACAAAGTTCAACTTGTTGGCGGGCAACTGTTCACCTGCAATCAACAGCAAGTCTATTTTCTCAAAATAAATCCTTGATGTGTCAGTTCATGGCAATCATATTTTATTACACGTCAAGCATATCATTTTATTTACAATAATAATAATTATAATGTCATATTTTTTTCTGGCCTATAGAAAGAATCCCATGGAGGATTGAAAGTTCTTCTTTTGTAAAGGACTACTTTATTTGTCCGATATTGTGACGAGAACATTTTTGTTTGTTTGTTTTGTAGGCCTTTCATTTCACTGTTCCATCAATCTGTCGCATTCTTTTTTTTTTTTTTTTTTTTTTTTTTTGTGAAAGTAACTCAAAACTATCGCATTATCATCCAGAGACAATCATTTTAATATACAGTGGATATAAAAAGTCTACACGGCAGTGTTCAAATGCCAGGTTTTATGACACAGTTCCATGAGAGTGTGCACATTTCTGCAACAACATTCGCTGAGTTGTTTTTAAATCCATCTCAAAGTGTGAAAAAAATGAATAGTTTTGAAATGCTTTATTTTAGTCTCGTCTTCTTCGTCCACAAAAACCTGCTATTTGAACAGGGTGTGTAGACTTTTTTTTACCTAATGTGCATCATCAACATGTTCCAGAAGATAATGCGATTTATTCAACAGTGGTGACCATAACTATGCAACATTCGGCACCATTTTTTTTCTTCAGATTTGTTTGTTTGTTTGGTTGATATATATTTTTTTTCTTTTTGTACACAAGTCCATTTTGGTGACATGCAGTGAGCAAAGAAGGAAAAATTGCAGTGCGGAAGGAGACGGTTTACACCACTTCCCTAGCAGTAACAAGCACAAGCTTTCACTCACGATCACTTGATTGCGCCGCGTGAAACACATTGTGTGACTGCATTCATCCACTTCACCCACAGCATGACCGGTGTCTTCAATACTCAAATTTTAGGATTCGTTTACTTGTCACTCCTGCCCGCTTGATTCATGCAAGTGGACACCTTTGTAGTTTTATTGAGCTGCTTGTCATTTTCATTCACACGTGGATACGTTTCAAAAGCCGTAAAGCTGGTCTTGTCACAGTAAAAATCACAAGACAGGCATAACAAAGTGCAGTCGAGGTGGTTCCTTGTCAAGGTTTCATGTCTACATTCCATCAGCACTATTTTTTTTTTGTTGTTGTTGGAGGTGGGTGAAGGGGTTCTCTTCTGTAATGTAAATGTAAACTAAATTGTTGTTACAGCAGTTTCTGGTTCTACAAGATCTCTTTGTAGTTTTACATACATTAATTTTGCTGCGAGCAACTAGTGTACTGAAAAGAGGAAGGATATAAATCAGAGGGAAAACAGTCAAGTAATCACGAAGCATGTGCAGAACATAAGCCCAGCAGCCATTTGGCAGAAATAAATGCCATTAAATAATGGCAGACGGCTATTATAATAACATTTAATGGACCCTAACTTTCTTCTGAATGACTGGAGGAAATGCCATAAATACTGTGGTAGCAGCTGAGTGGTTATGGACACAGGAGGTGATCGTGTCCAAGAGTAAATCACACGGGCTGTTGGACAAGGTTTGGATTCCAGCATTTCTGCTGTGGAATGAATCAAAAATAAGGCCAATGGAAGACGTTTGCAGTAAACACAAAATTAGTGCTTGACAAAGCGATAGGTTGCTCAACATATGATGCCTTATCTTGCACAAAATGTGAATCATTCCAGACAGAAAATGTGGGGCCGCTGACTGAGTATTACGACACAACCAATGCAGGGTTACATTTAAAAAAACATTTTGTTCAAGGCCTTATCAAAGATTCCAGCACGGGTATGGATGGAAACCAAGAGCCGAGGTTTTCTAGCCTCCGATAACAGGTGAATTGTGTGTTGATCAGAGACAATGGTGGCAGGTATGATGGATGGATGGAATGAAATGAAATTATTTTAGCAAATTATTGTTTGATTAATTGCCAGCACATGTCAGGAAAAGCCTATTAGAAAGGTGGAAAATTAGTGGGGTTCATGAGAGGCACGGTTAAATGGGGACAGGTGTGTCCTGATTCCAACTTAGCATGAGTGTGATAAATAAACATTTATTTAAAATAATTGGTTTATTAGCTGTCAGGAAATTCCAGAAATAGCCTACTAGAACATCTAAACTTTATTAAGGGTTGGTTAATCAGATGAGCTTTGAATGGTACAATCATATGGTCATCTTGACAACAGCACAACATGACCTGTGGTTACCGTGAGGGAGTTTTGCAAGCACTTTAGCTGGATTTTGACCTCGCGTCTTGTCACTTCATTTGGTTAGCTGACAGAGTAGCTTGTCAACATCACACCTTTCTTTGGAGACAAGTGTGTGGATGCCAGCACCACCACTACTTGACAGGGTGAGAGGTGCTACTGTGCGGGTGATGTAAAAACTGCTCAAATACTGGGCAGACGATGCATGAATTTATAAAGAAAGCTATCGCTTATATCCAGCTTCAGGTCCATGTACTAGTACACTTGTCGTCACTACTAGGACAGTTCCACACACTAGTAGAATGATTGCCTTACTAGACATTAGGTCCACCATAGTATGGCAATTCGGGACGCTATTAGAACAACTTTGGCATACTGTTAGTTGGACAACTAACTACATGATGCTGCTAGTGAGGCAAACCGGCACTACAGTACTGTAAAGTTGACACACGAGTAACATGTGGTTGTCCTACTTGAATGCCAAAGTTGTCCTACTAGTGAGGACAAAGTGGCTGTGTACTAGTACATGAACGCCTCACTTTTGATATTAATGATATTAAATAAATGCTCAAGCGGGTTTCCATAGATTTAAAGCAACATGCTTAAAAAACTCATAATGCATAAATAAATAAATAAACAAAAGGTGGACACAAGAGTTTGTCCGGTTTTTACTGAACTCGAAGAGATGCGATTTACGGCACATAACCACCTCAGCAGAAAAAAATGGAAGGAGAGTTAACTTTTTTTTTTTTAATCGGGAAGCCGAGACCCACCCACAGACCGACAATGCCAATAAATCAATAAACGCCTTACCACAGTCAAGTGTAGATGTTTTCATTCCAGCAGGATGCGAATTACCTGTTGCTGCTGATGAAACCTTGAGAAAAGTTCAACAACAAAGTCAGGTGTCTCACGCTCGGCGGATCCAATGACGTGAACACAATTCACACTCCGAGTAAAAAGGCAACTTCACTCGTGGGTGTTTCGTGCTGGACGTCAGCCGGTGTGTGAGGGCGGCGCTCGGACGTGGACACATCCCACAGCTGCCGCCTCTGGCCGGGATAGCTCGGCTGTCTCTCCACGGGAGACCGCGTCTTCGTTCCAATTGAATTAGACTGTCTCAACGCCAAATTGAATATGAGCAACAGACAGGTCTTTGAACACATCATTAACTGCAAGAGTAAGGAGAGTATACGAAATCGTACACCTGACCGGTCTTTGAACGCATCCTCAAACCAGTTCATATCAGAGCAATCGGAACGATTATGATGTTTAAATGACTTTCGTGCGACACATGGCGCCAGCTCGCTTTTATTAACACTTTCGATACGTGACACATTCCAAGCATATCAGCAACAGAGCGGCCCAGTCGGCGGCAGTAGCACGCGGAAGACAGTACAGTAGTTCAATCAAGCGTGGACTCCAACAAATGAGACGTCTCACCATCTAGCGGTCAGACTGTGGAAAACAACAGCGGATGGCAGCGTTTTGTTGTAAATAGCACCAACTGGTGGGAACTAGAAACAGCACAGGAACCATTTTCGTTCCCTTATTTGTCTATAGCGGCTCGGTGACCCAGTGGTTAGCTCACAGTGCAGAGGTCATGGGTTCGATCCCGGCTCCGGCCTTCCTGTGTGGAGTTTGCATGTTTTCCCCGGGCCTGCGTGGTACTCCGGTTTCCTCCCACATTCCAAAAACATGCAACCGGTTCAGGGTGTCCCCCGCCTACTGAGGATAAGCGGATCGGAAAATGGATGGATGGAGAGAGAGGGAGATAAATAAAATAAGAACAAAAAAATAGAAAAATATTGAGAGGTGTTTCTAGTATTGAAAAAGTAGTACAAATTAAAAAAAAACATCTGCCATTGTGCTTTTGTTACGCTATGGGTCTCTATGATATCGTCTACATTCACAAAAAAATTGGCAACAAGATATTGATCAGGAAGTGCACGATGCAGCATTTCAATGCAGTGTCATGTGACGCAGTGGAGGTTTAGCATCAAGCCCTGCCCTCCTCTTCCTCCTCCGAGTGCAGCAGCCTCATACTCGTGATGAAGATGCGGCTGAGTGCAAACATGCAAGCCGTCCTTCTCCTTTTAACTTTGCTGGTGCCCTGCAATGGCATCCTGCCCGATTTGGTGCATCCAGGAATCCACCTCATCCTGGACAGTTCCATGCAGGAGGATGAACGCGCAGTTATGCAAGTGGAGCAACTGGCCAAGGACCAGCAGCGAAGGCATCCACATAAAGTAAGGAAAAAAATGACATAGCATGTGAATGCATGGTGGGTTTTATGTGTCCTAAAGATATGATGTGATGGTACTTTGTCTCTGTCATGTCTCCTTTCACACAGGAGACAACCATTGCTACAGCAATTTTGCAGTCAACTGAGGAGGACAACCATATTGACACTGTGAGTACTTCATGTTCATGTTTATACATGGGTGCATTGAAAAAATAATTTGGTGGATGTAGTTTGACCTCAAATATGGAAACACAAAAAGATCAGCTACATCATAGAATGAAGCATTCAAAGTTGTGAATGTGTCTGTTTAGGGCTGCGTCACCACTATGGATTGTGGGAAGGAGAGGTACTGTCTGCACGATAAGCACAATTCCAAATGTCAACCTTGCAAAGGCACCGACATGGTAAGTGAAGGGGGCCCGACGATTTCAACTGGTGTGCTTGTGGGCTCTTTGTCAACATTGTTGGAGAAGAATAGAATGAAAAAAATGTATTCTTGTCAGTCGACACTTTTGCTATTGGTGGTATGTTTGAAATTGACCTCCAGTGTGCCTAACTGAGGGTATAGAACCGACAGAATACACAACCGAACCTGTGAAGAAAAATTATAACAACCAAACATGTATGATGACATGGAAATTAAATTATATTTAAATGTTATGTCACAACTGAGAGCATTAGTCCTACTGTTTTACTTTCCTTTAAGTTCTCTGAGCATTTATTCAATATCAGTCCATGCATTAGGAATTTGTTTTTCCCTCCGAGTAAGAAAACTCAGTACACTAGTAGGGTGACTACGGCAAACTACTGGAATGAAGTTCTTACTGGTGATATTTTCTTCCCCACTACTGTGTGACATTTCTACAGAGACTTTGGCATGCTAGTGGGACAACTGCTTGCTACATGTGAGGCAAAATTGCACACTTGTGCTACTAGTGCTAGTCAAGCACTAGCTGATCACTAGAGTAGAATTTTGTAATGTCCCTAGTTCAGTCCTTTTCAAATAGTGAGGCGGGCCCCCTGGGGGAGGAAGGTAGGATGGGCGCAGCACAATGCCAGGGAGGGCACGTATGACCTGTTGAACATGCCATATGAGAATTATGAGTGAAATTGCGCATCCACTACAGTAGGTGGCAGTGGCACTCTGTCATTCAGATTTGTGTGTGTGTGTGTGTGTGTGTGTGTGTGTGTGTGTGTGTGTGTGTGTGTGTGTGTGTGTTTATTTCAGTTCAGTTGATGCACGTGTGTGTGCGTGTGTGTGTGTGTGTGTGTCTGTGTGTGTCTGTGTGTGTGTGTGTGTTTAATTTCAGTTCAGTTGATGCAGTTCAAATCTTTTCTCTGACAGACTAAAAAAATGTTAATAAAATGTTTGTATGTAAGCTGATCCATATTTCTTTTTTTGTTTTCTTTAATGTTAACTATGATACAATGTTATGTAGAAGTATACTTTGACCAATACTGTATTATAGACAAATGATAGTATTATTGTCATGGAGAATTGTGAGGGCGCAAAATGTTTTCTTCCAAAGGGAGGGCGTTGCAGAAAATAACTAAGATGCACTGCACTAGTTCCATTAGTACACTGAGTTGTGTTATTGTTGAGGACATTACTCTTAAGATAGATATCAAGAATATGGGACATGGTATTACGAGTACACTCTTCGTCGTCACAAGTGAAACAATTCAGCGCATGATGAGCGCACACTAGACATTTTTTTTCATTACTGCATGACATTTCTGCACATTAGAGTGACAACTTTGCCACACTAGTTGGACAACTAAATGCTACTTGTAATGAAAAAGTACTAGTGGGCATTTTTGATTCTGGTAACAGGGTCCAGGAGGCTACTAGTGCATGCTTCCTAGTTCCTACGCTTCCTAGTTGGGCCTAGTAGTGTTACAAGTGCAGCACAGTAGTGAACCAGTAAGGTCATACGGTACTGCATACTAGGATGCTTGTGTGTGATTGCAGTCCTGCAAAGAGGATGAAGAGTGCTGCGGTGTCCAGTTGTGTGTTTGGGGCCAGTGCAGTCCAAATGCAACCAAAGGGCAAGCCGGCAACACATGTCAGCATCAGGCACACTGCAGCCCAGACCTCTGCTGCGCCTTCCACGCAGGTGACGCTCACTCAAGAGTTAGTTGTGTCCAAACCCCGATCCTGCCCATTTTAGATGTCTCCCTCTTCCAACGCATCTATCTGAAATGATTAGGATCGTTATCAGGTGGACATAATTCAAGATTACATACCACTGAAAGACTCACATTCACTACTGAAACGCTCTCAGACTACTGAATTATTTTGCTTACATGACTGAAACACTCTCACACACTATTATTTTGATAGTGCTCTCATTCCATACACACTACAGAAACTCTCATACACACAACTGAAATTACTGTCGGTCATGCATAGTACTGAAGCACTGTGATCCAACAGAAACCCTGTCACACTGTAATCCTACTTAAATACACTCATAAAATATACAAAAATACATGTTTCAGTTGTGTAGTGTGGATGAGAGCATTTCAGTTGTGTGCATGAAAGTGTTTTAGCGACGACTGTAAGCATTTTAATAGTGTGGTGTTTCAGTTGTGAAATTTGTTTTGCTTGTGGCCATGAGAGCATTTCAATCGTGTGTGAAATTTTTCAGCGAGTGTAATGAGAGCATTTCAGTAGTGTGTATGAGAGAGTTTTTGTATCGTGCATAAAGGATTTTAGTGGTGTGAAAGAGAGCATTTCAGTAGCATGCATTGAACGTTTCCAGTAGTGGGTGAGCATTTCAGTTGAGTTTCAGTAGTGTGTGAAAGACCATTTCAGTAGTTTATGAAAGCATTTCACTGGTATGTGACTGTTTCAGTTGGGTGTGTGTTTCAGTAGTGTTTGTGAAGGCTTTCAATAGTGTGAGAGGGAGCTTTTCAGTAGTGTATGAGAACATGTTAGTACTGCATGCAAAATCTTTTCCTCCCCTCTCACACACAATATTGAAACAAAACATGCTGTACAATACACTGAAGTGTGCATTTTTTTTGTACGAGTGTTTCAGTCGTGTGTGCGAGCCTTTCAATAGTGGGTGAGAGGATCTACTGATTTACATCCCTGACAGCCCCTCATAAAGCACGTACAGTATTGATGTTGTTACATGTTGTGTTCAGCCCTCCTCTTCCCAGTCTGCTCCGCAAAGCCAATTGACCGCGAGCAATGTTTTCCTACCTCCAACCACCTGATGGAGGAAGACGCACCCAGAAAACATTGTCCTTGTGCTGGGGACCTCCACTGCCAGCACACGGGGTGAGCATCCATACATTCATGGCAAAATTGTGTTCCATTCATTTTGTGTGTAACTTTTGGCTTCAGTTTTTGATATACAGTATTGTATACATTTAATTTTTTACTATTTTCACTAAAGGTTGCTGATAATATATATTTTGACCATGCAAAAAAAAACAAGGCTATACTGAAGGGACCCTTTCAAGAGAAAATGTGAGCAGAAGTTTCAGTAACATGAACACCAGGCCCCCGATTATTATCATTTTAAAAACAGCTTCACGATTCACGTAGTTTGTATTGCTTTAGTGCCATCTAAAGGTCATAGGGGGTACATGATTTTAATAACGGTACATTTAAAATTCGCCATCCCATCAGTTTTAGAAAGCGTATGTCGTCATTAGGGTTATGGGTGCGCTGACTTTAGGCGAGAGGCGGGGTACAGCCTGGACTGGTTGCCAGCCCATCCCCATTCACACCCATGGAATGAATTTAGTGTTTTCCAAGTAACATAAGATGCATTTTAATCTCGATGCATGTTTTGGTCACAGCAAGGGCTGCAATGGAGGTAACACATATTGAAAGTGAATTGGAAGTCAAGCTGTGGAATTTGCAAAATATTACAAGTTGGCCACTTCCATGAGATTGGAATTGATTTCTCTCCCCTCTGCCAGACGGGGATCCATGTGCCTTAAATTGGTGGACTCGAGCGAAGAGGATCTGACAGACAGCCTGTACTCAGCCATAGACTACATCCTCTAAAATGCTTCATTCACATCGCAATATTTCTCCTTGGACCCCAAGAAACTGCTCAATTCTGCTATGCAAATATCACAAAGCTACACAATATGGAATAAAAAAAAAAAGTCAATTGTTTTATTTGCTTACCAGAGCTTGACAAGTCTGTCATCTGCATGACAAGCTCAATGGCCTGGAGGTGAAAAGTTTTTACAGCGCAGTCCTCATCATCAGGTCCATGAAGTGTTTGTAGCCTTGCTTGAACTATGCACTGAAGCTTCATACTCTACACTGTAAGACCAATAAAATTGTACCGCACGCTGTTTGGAAATGCAGTCATTTTCCCCACAGAATGTAATCAGCAGAGCATACAGTATACTGTACCCCAGTATAGTAGTAAAACCAGGAAAGACAAATGATTCATGCACATAAGCAAGTAGCCTACTGTTTGTTGACAAGACAATTCGAGTGGGCTTCATCATGTGCCTTGCCATTTCTTTTTTCTTCACTTTTAACAGATATTACAAGAATTTGTCATCAAAACCCTTGAAGTGAAAAATTGTGGATATTTAACATTAAATATTTGTCACAATTTTCCATGACATCTGATCTGGTCGACAGCTGTGCGTCAGCAGATGACATGGCTCCCCAAAGCATTACAGACTGGAAACTTCACTCCGGACTTTAAACAGTTTGACTTTGTGTTTCTCCAGTGTCTGGGATATTGATCTACAAATGAAAAGCTAAACTGACTTTGATCTGAAAAGAGGACTTGGGGTTTTCAAGGATGCTGCTGTCTTCCCTGTCACTTGTGCATCTTTTCCGACCATGTGTTCCCGTTCCTCTTAACATTGTTTGTGTACTTTGTTCATGTACTTTGATACAGCGCACAGTGAGAATGCAGCTTCGTTTGCAATTTCTTTTTGAGACCTTTTCTCCTTACGGGCAGGGTCAATGATGGTTTTCTGCAGAGGTGGGCATTACATGAGAACTAACGGAACGTCCATCAATCCGTCACTGACTTGACGCCTGTTTTGCTGGGGATTGACGGGAAACACGTCTCTCCCTGTATTTGTCACCGATTGGGTCAAGTACTGACAGACCTCTCAATCCGTCACTGAAGGACACACGTTTTGCTGAGGAGTGTCAAACACGCTCCGCCTGTGTCGTAAAGGTTTATCAAAGGAAGAATTCCATGAGTTTTTATAGTAAATATATTTTCTTTAAATTGTGGTGAGCTCAAAAAAAGGGGTTTGTTTTAAAAATCCTGGTGATGGACCACATGTGGTGATTTCAGTTCAGAGTTACACCACACACTGAAAGCAATTGAACTGAACAGGTGCAAAAATAAATAAACTTTTTGTAAAAATCCAATGGCAGACTCACCCGCCGCACATGTCAATTGACCTTGGCATGTGTGCAGAGCCGCTGCAGGGGCAAAACTGTTCCACACAACCTGACTTTTTTTTTTTAAACTACAAACTTACCTGACTGTATTTTTTTTTTTTAAACTACAAACTTAGACGTGATTGTCAAGGAAGAAGTTGTACTACTACAATGATAGGAAAGTAGCGACATAAAAGGAGAGTGGATATTTTAGATGCTGTTGGTTCCATACAGTTACTGTACTTGAGTATTTCCGAGACAGACGCTCCACGTCGCGCTTTCTCATTCACAGATCAGCTACAGATAAGGCACCGTAAATTATGGTTGTGAAAGCTCACATGAAATGATGTGATTGTGCAACACTGTTGAGCAGCAATTCAAGTTTTAAATCACAGCAAAAGCAATGACCGATGATTAGCGACTCATGAAAACTAGTCACTGATCCCGTGTACACTGGTCGCTTTCAGCTGTGACGCTTGGTGTGAGGCAGTTCTAGCATAAAGTTGGAAGTTGTCTCGTTTTGAGAAAGAAAAACTGAGGTTATGAAATAAAGCATTTTAATTAAATTCTAAAATGTTCTCAAACTATTTTCACACAGGATTTGAATCTCAAAAGAAAAGAAACACCAACAGAGGAAACAAAAAACCAAAAGAATTTTCATTTTTACAGTGAACAGCTGGTGGCAGCATCAGAAGCTCAGCAGGCCGTGACACAGGCGGCCTGGTGAACTTTCTCCACCCTCTGGTGTCCATCAATCAAGTAGCAGTGGGTTTAAGCGCCATCTCCACCTCATGCCCTCGGCTGAAAAATCCCAATGAGGGAGCTCCCATCCTCTCTCAGTATGTCGCACGCAAGGGATAAGAAAAAGAAATCCAGGAAACATTAAGAAAGACAACAGGTAGGCAGACGTGTGCGCGTATAGTTGCCACGCATGATTATAATCGGAGGAAAACAATTTACAAAAACAAGACAGTTATGATGATCATCTTTACTGGATTTTTCCCACGCGGAGAACTGCAGAGCGCAATCGGACGAAATCTGGTGCAGGTGATGACGTGCGAAAAAGCTCAGCTGAAGAGCAAACCTGTGACTCAACACCATTCCCGCAGTCGAGCGGCATTCAACGTCATGATGCTTCACTTCCGAGAGCTTGCAGATCAACTGAGAGGTGGAAACGTGCATCACCGAGAGAATTCATTTTTGGTGTCACCTAGGCTGGCTTGGATAGAATTCAAAGGTAGGTGAGCAATGGAAGATGATAAGCAGAGCTGTGAGCACGTAACAATCACCGAAGAAGCGGTACAATCGAGACGGACCGAACAAGCAGAAGAAGACCGACTGAATACGCTCAAAGCTTGAGCATCTCCAGAGCTTTACGCCCATTCGTCTAAACAGTGTTTGATTCATTTTCCATGTCAGAAATAGCGTCTCGGATTCCCTTTAAACTTGACAGTACAACACAACCTAACAGTGCACAATGGGGTTTCCCAGCTCAGAGTGGAGGGTGAGAGAGCATTTCAACCTCACAACGTCGCTCGATGTTCAAGTCTTTTTCGGACCGCTCACCTACATTGAGTCCCAGAGAGTGTCCGGAAGATCCCAATGACACAGGGAGAGGATGCGGGACTCAGTCTTGCCCTGGATCCTTGGCCGGACCCCCATCTAGGTAGATCTTGAGGGCCTTCTCTTTTCGCGGCGAGTAGATGACCCGATGTCCAGTCTTGAGCAGGCGGCTGCTTTCCTTCTTCATGAGTTCACTGCGCTCATCTTCTGATAGCTCCATTAGTTCCTCGGTGCTATCTCTGCAGGCACGCCCAAGAAATTCCAAATAATGCATGCAGATAATTACAGTTATCCTGAGAGAAAATATAACTGTAGCAAAAGTGATTCCCAAATGTTTTTTTAAATTACCCCCTGAAACAGCCTATTCTCTTTAACAGACTCGGATGTCAAATATAGCATAAGTTTTTGTTAGTAAAATTTTGTTGAACTTTTTTCCTTGCAATTCTTAACATTTTGTTTTATCATAAACATAATATCAAGAAAATTAATTAACACTCTTAAGTTGTGCCTCTTAACAGATACGCGACGCTCACACTAAAACCTTTTCAGCTAACTAGAGGATAGTCGAGAAAGGTTTTTCTTTTTTATTACTGAGCCAATTTGTACTTGACAGTTAGCCTAGCAGCTATTCATCAGCTATTCAATAATGATTTTGATTTTTTTCATAATACGGTGTTTATATGACATAAAATATCCAAATGAAAGTGTACATTGATGATTGAGTGTTTTTTTTGTGCTGATTATACTTGCACATTTTGGTGAAAATATGACGGATGACTGAATGGGGATTATCTCATTTTGTGGGGTTTTTTTCTATATTTTAATTAACTGATTGTGTTATTTGGAGATTCCTTATTAGTTTGGTTTCAATCCCATTTAAAATAAATCTTTTTTTTTCCCTGATCACTTATGTTTTCTTTGAAGTATTTTACACATTTAACAAAAATTCTGCCATGGTGACTAAACTTACAAGCCCAAATGCAAATGGTCTGTTTCTCCCAAATTTTGGGTCCTAGATTTTCCTCCAAATCTGGAATGATCTCCACATGTAATCTAATTAACTTGAGCATTGATGTGAAAAGTGTCATTCCTTCTTGTTCAGAGCTCCTACCTGTAGAAGACTACGGCCCCATCATCACAGATGTACAGGGGCCACATGTTTAATGCCGACACCTTGGGGTTCCAATCCAAATCCTGATGGATCTCCAGCACAGAAATGTCACAGGGAAACGTTCCTCGACCCTGCAGACAGCGCACGCAAAGAACCTCGGTAACAAAACAGGCCAAGAGAGAACGGGGTTTCGGAGGAAGCATCTCACAAACCTTTGCAAACTCCAGCTTATCAAGATGAATATCACTAATTTCACTGAGCTGCAATGACAAAAAAACAAAACAAAAAAAAAAACACAAAAACCTATGTTAGACATTTACATGAAGTAGGATGGTCGCAACAATCCAAAATGTGCGAGAATCAGTGAGTCAAATGAATTTAGCAGCAGGACAAACAGTACCTTCTCCTTGAGTTCCTCAACATTGCTGCTCTCCAGAATCACTTCCTGGAAGGTACCCAGTTTCATGGTGGACGGGCTCCACCTGCGGGTCAGGACAGCCAGCTGCGACATGGACTTCATCTTCTCGTGTTCTGAAAAAATGTTCAAAGGGCACTTCACAGCGCTTTTGCTGCAACTTTATGAGATTCTTCACATTGGCTTCCTAGCAAACACCAGGTTGTAGAGTGCTGTGCAGTAGTTGTTTATATATTACCAAGACTGGCACGCAAATGGTTATGGTAAACTCAACTCAAATAGCAAGTCACTCTTAAGTACTTTTTCCAGCGGCAGCATGCTAGCGGGCATTAGCGAGTTAGCACGGGTGAAAACGTGAATATTGTACCAGTTTCCAATGAAGGACTACACGGCAGACTAAGTTCCCTGCACCCACAACCCGGAAAAAAAAAAAGAGTGCTAAAGCAGTTTTGTGTTACCGGGGCTACAATGTCTCTGCCGTCGGCATACATGAGCTGTTGTGCAGCAGGACCGCGGCGAAACAAGCAGCACATTGTGATGTCATGGCTAACTAAACTCAAATGTAGTTGTGGGATTTTTATACTGTTTATCCACATTGGGGTTTCATGACCCAGCACCAACCCTGCAAAGCCAAAAACAAGCACTATCTAATCCATCTGAAAGGTAACTCCAAAGCATCAGGCAACTGTTCCAATATTTTTGCTCATTTCAAAAGTGGGTGGGTTCAAACAAAAGGTGCTCTATCCTGAGTTGTTTAACATTTAGTTGTAAATGCAATGAAACAAACGTTGGAATTCAGAATTGTTTTCTCATATTTATCGTTTGACCTGAAACCGAGATGTTTTCTGTATACAACAAAAACAAAGGAATTGACCGTGCCGTTCCAATACTATTGGAGGGGACTGGATGCATTTCAGTGACAGAGAATTTTAACTTTGGTCACCGGCGATTCAAGTCGTGAATTGGAGCAAAACCAGTGGCCGACTGTGAGCCACTGGTGGAAAAAAAATGTGGCTGGACAGTTGAGTCACTCTGTGCGGTGACGCAAATAGTGCAAATCGTGAAAAAAAAAATTACCAGTGAGGATTTCCAGGAAAACCTCCCAGTTGGAGGAGATGCTGATGTCTTCTTCATAAACATGGTAGTCCAGAAATACTGTACCCGGATTCTTCCATGTCTTTTTCCTGAGACGCACCCTGAACATGAAACAATACATTTGTTAGGTATGCGTGTACATCTCCTCATACATGTCAGGCTTACCGGTCAATGCTGAGGTCAAGCTTGCACTGCTCTTTCAAGACAGGCAGCAGCTCCTCTTTCGACTGTCTGACAGTCATCCCCTTTGCAAACACCGTGTCGACAAGAAACTTGCAGGGCTATATGACACACGCGAGAGACAATAATTAGAGCTCTACTCGCTTGCAACAGCATTTTTTTTGTTGTAATTCTCACCTCTTGTTCATTTACTAGCAGTTGATACACTTTTACTCGGTATTCACCCTTTTTCAGGGCTCTCCCAAGTCGAATGGTTATCTGAAGGATGCAATACAGTTCAACGCGTTAATGGAATGCAACTGAGTGCAATCAATTCTGCAAATGGATCCTGACCTTGTTGTCGTCAGAGAATGACGACAGTGTTTCGTTGAGCCGTACACTCTCAAATTCCTGGTTGTTGGCGTAAACCCGAAACACTTTAAACTGGGCCGAGGTGACGCCGACATACGGCTCCAGATTGTGTTTGAAAGCTGCCAACGTTATCCTCTTGTCCACATGAACCACTAAACCTGTGGAACAGCACAGGAAACAACTCAACACGGGCTGGCTCTTCTCCCGAAAACACAAAGTGTTGTCCAGAGTATCCAAAAATCCATTGTAAACTTCCTTTTTTTAAATTTCGTTTCAGAAGCGAAGCCATCAGCATTTGACAGCTGAGGCTTTGCAGTTTGACAAACCACGCAGTGGAAGCTGTGCTACCACCACCATTGATGAAATGGCTTAACTACTAAGAGCAGGCATTTGCATAAACTGAGCGAAAGTCTATCCAGAGGGCTGCACCGCATCGCACCATCAATGAACATTTGATTCAGCTCTTCGAAGGCGATGAAACTTTCCCCATCAGGTTGTCAAAGGCTTCAAGTGGAAGATTGTTGTGTGGAAATATGTGAATCACTCCTCCACCATGCCCAAAACACCTGTCAGTGCTTGGAAAACTAGTAGTTCAGCGACAAGCCTAGCTTTCATCTCTCTGATCAGGACGTAAGGGTCAAATTTGAAGAAAATGACGCCCAGCAGAAACTAGTAAGCATAAATAAGACTCTCCAGAGCTGGATGTTTGGTGTGCAATGACACTGGGCTGGGTTGACCCTTTGTCTTATTTGATGAATCAGAAACACGACCACCGACACTTCAGACACATTCCTCAAACTACTGCAAATAGCAATTGGGGACAGAAAAAAAAATCTTGCCAGATGGCAATTTTGCAGCGATGCTCCAATGTGAATAGGCAAGCCCTGAGAAGGAGAATCATATGCTTACAAAAACTGCAAAGCCCATGCTGTCAAATGCTATAGGCTTCAAATACGTCTGAATGACAGCTAAATGTGTATCGTGACTCTCTTTGTCTGCTCAGAATCAGCAATATTACACAGTCGTTGAAGACATTTTCATGTTGTCTTATAGGTAGTGTAGTATTTCCTTTCATTTAGGATTGTTACCTTGCTTTATAACTTCATAAAGAGAGCAAAGCAATTTCACAGTGACAACAGATAAAACTGAAAAGATCATTCCTAACTACCTATTTGCCCTCAGTAATGATGTCAGATAAGGGACCAAACTTTTTTCCCCAAGTTTACGACCAACCTGTGGACCTATCAATGAAGCATGCACAGACTAAATTGGTTACTAGGCATCAGACACTGCACAGCTTCTAATCAACTGAACGGAATCAAATATAGAAAGCACGTTTAACATAGATGTTTGTGCTTCATGTCTGGGCCATCTCTGTGCCAAGGAACTATGTTGAAGTAAATCAAGGAGCTTCATTTAGACTAAAGTAGCTCTTTGCCACCATCTTGTGGCATTTTTTCGCAATTATAAAGCTTTTTTGTGGGGAAGGGGAGTGGGGGCAATTATTCAAGAAGAAATAAGAAAGATGACTACTTGAACAGAATAGTTTCTTTTAACTTAATCATGAATAGAGAGTTCATACATTTTTGTGAATTGCAGGCCGAGTCATCCTGGAAATAAGGTTCTGTCCTGAAGTACAAGAACCGGGCTTCCGATTTAGCCTTCCCGTTGTCGTCATACTCGCTGTCCGTCCCTGAGTCTTCCTCCGCGGTGTCCCAGGTCTCTTTCTTGCCCTCGTGGGCTTTGGAGCGACGGCTACTAGTGATGCTGTGCGAGTCCAAGCCATTGGCCAGCTGGATTGGACCATTGTCTGCATTGCACAGCGTGTCACTACTGTGACTCGAGCTCAGGATGTCGCTGTCCACTGAGCTGGTGCTGCGGTCATTGTTTACCTCAGAGTCTGAGCGCTCCTCGCAGGCAAAGTGGTTTTCTGGGTCAGATGGGGCACTGACCCTGCACCCGGGGGTGCCCCCGATCCGGTTTTCGAGGTCTCTGTTGTCTGCGGCTACGCAGGGTGAATTTGAGTCCACCTCTTGGCTCAGGGATTCGATATGTTCAAAGTAACTGGTGTCAGAGCTTTTCTGGCTGTCGCCGGTGCTGGATCTTTGCTGCTGTTGCAGAGACAGGTTCTTTAACTTCTCTGTGCTCTCCTCAAGGATAGCCTCCACTGATTTCCTGTTGCCTTTTGACCCTTCAAAGGGCACATCCGAGTCACTGCCAAGCTTTTGGCAAATAGTTCTGCTGCCCAAAGTGCCAGGAGACTGTTCAGGTAGCAAGACGAGTAGTCGAATAGTATTCCCGTGGCGATCCAAAAGCCTCCACAGCAGCGAGTCAGTGAATGCGACCTGATGATCAGCAGACTCTGAACTCTCCACAAAAATCTAACAGAAAACACAAAGTAATAGATAGGGTGAGAGATTTGGAATCCAGGTTTTCTTTTCCAAAATGAAAAAAAAACCCATAACATAATGTTATCTTATAAGCCAGAATTTAACTGAGTATACAGACTTTGTTACTTCTGAAGAAACCTTCCGCTTTCAGTGTCTTGTTTGGAACATAGAGGAGCCGCAGGTCATTGTAGCAACGCTCCAGAACAACGCGCATTGTTTCTGCTGAGAGACTTGTAGCCTGAAGGGAAATACATAAGAGGTTTATAACTGTCAGAAATCTGTTTGTTTCAGGGAACACTTTTGGGCTCTGATTAGACTAGGGCTGCATAGTTTTAGAATTGACCATTCTACCCATTATCTCATCGTTTAATCAAATAAAAATTGAAAATTCATTTTAAAATATGCACATGATGTGCAGGTACTACTGTTCTTCACTTGGGGTCACCATCCTCACATTCCAAACTATAAAATCTGTCAATTTGAGCGTTTGAGGCTTTATAAAGGTGCGGCCTGGCCTGTTGAGTGATATGGGAGTCAGAGAATGAACGTGTAGAATTTGCTGTTACTGGCTGGCTGTTAACTAAGTCAGTCTGCATGTTAGTTAAATGCATGGAGTTCCGCTGTGGCCGTAGCAGCATGTGTATGCATGTGCCTATTGCATGTTTATTTTGTTACCATTTGCTTAAGACAGTGATTCAAAGTACACTGTCAGTGTCTATGCTTAACCACTTGTTCTGAATTGACTCCAACTAGCAGAGGTAGGCTACACTAAATAAGTTTACATTGCTACCTTTTGTTGTTGATTGGAGACATGCTGTAGTTGTACATAAGTCAATTCTGCTTTGACACACATCGCACTTTATCTTTTTTTTTAAGTGTGAAATGATCCCAAACTTTGGACATTCTATTATGTTATCTTTGCAGCTGGCTCGCTGCCCGCACACCAACTAATTTCTACATGGAGTGGTGGGTGACTATACAGAGACAATAATCCATGTATAAAAGTAAAGCATCGAAGCATCAATGCAGAGATTTTTTTGCACCGTATTTTCAAAACCATAAGACGCACATAAAAGTCTTAATTTTTTTCCAAAATGGACAGGGCGCCTAATAATGTGGGTCGCCTTGTGTATGCACCGAGTTCCAGAACCTGTTAATGCTGTTGTGTGACTTCAATGAGGGGTCCGCTTGACTGAATGATGCTGTGCAGACACGTTGCTTATATAGAGGAAAGGTGGACATAACTGAGGACAGCATGCGGACGTTAAACAGGACGCTAAAGCTATGCCCCCAGTAGGTGTAAATGTTGCCGGTACGTGCATTGTGCAAAATACCATCCCAAAAATGGCACCTATGAAGAGACACGCTTACAAAGCACAGTTTAAACTGCAAGCTATCAGTTAGGTGGAGGAACATGGGATACGAGCAGCCATGAGAGAATTCAAGATCGACTAATAGATGGTGCTTTTGTCATGCAAGCGAACTCAATTTTGCTCCCGCTGCCTTTTTAAAAACATACGCCTGCATGCATGCATGCTAGCATATTTTTTAAGCGAGCGTTATGTTTTACCATGCCTGCGTCCAATAATACAATGCGCCTTGTGTATGTGTTAAATACAGAAATAGCACCTGAAACTGACACTACGCCTTTTAATACAGTGTGCCGTATGGTCATGAAAATACGGTAATCAAATTATTCTACTTATTCAATTACTTGTTTCAACCCTAGGACAGAAGCAATAGAGAAGAAAAGTGAACCTGTGCAATAAGTTGCTTGAATTCAGTGATGGTCTGGTTCAGGTAAGCCCGAACACTGATGGGAGGGGCGACTGTTTCGGTTCTCAGATCCACAACATGAACCTTCACCATCACCTCTGTGGTAAAACAGCACCCCATGCACACATGGAAACAGGGGACAAGCAAAATGCAATTCTCTTTAGGTACTGTGCCATGGTCATATTTTCTGTGCACAATTATTTGAATACACTACAGTTCAAAAGTTTGAAGTCACTAAGAATTTGGGGGAAAAAAAGAGCACGAGTATACAGTGGATATAAAAAGTCGATATACCCTTGTTCAAACACCTGCATTTTAATGACATAAAAAGATGGCCCAAGACCAACAAATCATTTATAAATATTTTTTCACCATTATGAAGACCCATAACCAGGACTTGGTTTCATCGGACTCCAACACATATTCCAGCATGCATTTGTGGCTTTTTGAGATGGCATCATGTGAATATGAATAGCAGGCAGAGCTTCATTTAAAAAAAAATAAATAAATAAATAAATCAACCACAGTGTAGTGATGTTTAAAATCAAAGAACGGTGGATATTTGCTTTCAAGGGGTATTTTTAAACAATACGTTCTTCGGTGTTGTTCATAACCTCTACAAAAAGTGGGTCAAGACTTTGCAACAATAGGGAAATGCCAGGGTGACAAGAGTTGAGAACCACTGGGCTAGACAATGTTAATGTGGCAAAAAAACAAAACAAAAGAAAACGGTGCGTTTCTTTTTTTAAAACATAAATAAGGACACTTCTACGCAGCTCTACAATTTCTGAACAGTATTGCATATTTATATACAACGGTGTGGTCTCCCCTGCCCCCCTCACGAAAAACATGAAATCGTCTCAGCAACCCAAAACCTTTGAAAGATAGTGTGTCGGTAGTACCAGGCTCCTCACCTCCAGGTTTGTAAGGCAGGAACGTTTGTTCTGGCCGGCGGGTCTCCAGCAGCAAGTCGAACATGTAAGAGGACTTGACCCCTCCGAGGAGAAGGCCCATGGGCGTGTCCTCTTCGCCCTCGTAGGAGCGCTCCAGGTACTCGTGGAACTCATCATACTTCACCAGGCGACAGCAGTCCAAGGGGACCGTTTCCTCCAGCTCCATCAGCTGAAATTCAATACATGATCAGGTTGATCTGATTTCATCACCTTGTGCATTTCAAGGACTGTATCCACAAACAAACCTTGTAGGCCATTTCTGTTGCTTCCGTAAGAGTTTTGTCCTTGTGCACCTCCAGCTTGCTCTCGACCATCGTCTTCGAAGGGTGCATGCAGAAAAGCTTGATCTAAAGTAAAGAATACGAGTGATCGATAAAACAAATACAGAAGTTATATGCAGACAGAAGAGCAGTTATTGAATCAAGCCGGTGGATCCGTTTGTTCACCTTGCAAGTGTTTCGCTCGATTTCTCGCTGTCTCTTCTCCTGCTCTTCCGACTCTTTTTCCTTTTCAACCAAACTCTTTAAGTGCTCTGGGAAGTCATCCACAGCTAAATACTCTTCAGACAGGAGACACGTATAGCAATGATTCAAAGGCAATGACGACCACTGGCATTATCACAGCACATTAGACTATAGTTGATGCATTTCAGACGAGACTACAAGTTATAGGCTGGAAGCTTCATTCAAGAATTTAGACACCAAGCCTCGAAGATCAGAAATAGAGAGCAGTGGAAACAATGCTTCTATGTTTTAATGAGGGAAAATCTAAGTATAAGTTACACCCCAATATTGTGACTTTGTTTCATCATCAATCATTTAAGCCACACCAGTCTGACAGACACATGTACTAACAATAAAAGCAATCTTCACTCTTCAGCCACATACCTTAGTGAAAGTGTGGGTGTAACTACATTAGTTCTTTACGGTTTTCTTTTCATATGGACTGAATAACAACAGCTTTGCTCTGGTGACTTCTTTTTCACTTTTATTCCAATAGCCTGACTGCACTCAAAGGTGATTTTGCTTGAAGGGTGAGAAAAGTTAGCATTTCTCGATTCACCTGACACACTGCTCTCATGTGAATGCTCACGGTGAGTTGCGTGACAAGCTGTATTCATTATTTTGCATTTTATCACATTGTGATACTAAATGTTCAACCCCAATTGCTTCTCTGACATCTCATTTAATGATAGACTAGCATTTAGTTTTGCTTGAAACCTCGTTACTGTTACTGTATGCAAGTAAATGGTTAACACATTTCACTGCTAACATAAATCACTGTAAACTAAAACATTTCTTACTTGCATTCCTTGAGGGATCTTTCAATCTATAAATCAGCATATAAGCATTCGTAGAGCTGTTGGAGAAAAAAAACGTGCATATTAAGGAAATTCCTACCCATTTCGTGTGCAGGTGTACAGAATAAAAACTAAAGCACGCTAGCAAAAATATACAAAACCAACCTTGCAAAGGCACTGGAATAATATCCTCTGCTCCCTGAGGACCCCCCGTAAGTCTTTCTGATATCCTCTGGGGTGATCTATCCAAAAAGTAAAATTCATCAACAAGGAATAAAGAGATAAGACAGTGCTGATGATAACTTGTTGAGAAAAAGAACACAAAGGACATTTGAACTTGTGACAATGAAGCTCTCCTCTTCATCCTGAGTATGCGAGAGCTGCCAGTTGTTGATACTGACCTTGCTGACATGCTGGTCATTGAAACTGTACCACTGGCCATCAGTGAAGGATTTAATGCAGGCGTAGTAGTGCCCACCCGCGGCACTTCCCGAATGGACCATGACGGAGAACAGCTCAAAGCTCGGCAAACTCTGACAAAAAGTGTTGGAAAATGTTTTTGCTCAGACAAGAGCAATGAGCAATAATGACTGCATTGAGCAAGTATGATAAAAAGGAAAAAAATATATTCTTGTAGTTTGCTTTTGTGTAATACAACTATCGCTAACCGCAGTGTTTGACTGCACAATTCATGGCTCACATCCCATCATGTAATTATGCCTTAAGGGTGAAATTGAGTAAAATAATAAATACTATCGATGCGCTGATAGGATAGGTCTCTTTACTCGGTCTACTATTTTGTCCTGTGCAGTTTGGCAGAGCAAACAGTTCTTCAAAGAGTGAATGTGTGCTTGCTCAGGCAATTTATTGACACTCCCAGTTAAAATTTACAGTAAAACTAACATCATCAAGATAATGACACTTTGTACACTTAAGAAAACACATGGATTTGTCTTGCAAAAGTCTGCTAGCTTAATGTTACACCCACACTGGCTAAAAAAATAGTAGTACAACCCTTTTAAGAACAAGTAGTTGCACACAAATTGTGCAGCAACAGACAGAAAGATGATAAAATAATACTCAGATACATATATTCTTTCTACTCTCCGAAAAGACATGAATTATATGATTGCAGCTAGCATGGTGTTCTTTCGACGCATTATCTGCATGTGTGCATGACAATGCCCGCTTGGAGGCCAAGGTTACCTCCCACTTCAGTGGAATACGATTATGCTGTGTATAAGAAATGCTCTATTTGAGTGAAATTGATTTTATGCAGGGCTCGAAAGTGTGACCATTGTGCTCGCAAATGCCTGAGTTTTTTTTTTTCCACTGTGTGCTCGTAACAATTTAATCCAGTGGCGCAAGCGCGCTGGAAAATTTTAATGCCGCTACCGGTGAAAATTTTAATGCCACTACAGCGAAGGTGCTCCAATTCTGTATTCTGGTGCCCTCTGGATAGAAATAAAATTATCAGTCGGTTTAAAAAAAAAAGAAAAAAGGAGGGGTTGGGGCAACCTACTCTGTGTTGATGCGACCAGCACCAGTGATGCCAGTCCAGAAGTTAATGTAGAGCCCTCCTATGTTCAATACGTTAGTTTTTGAACAATATTTGATCGTGCATAAGAAGTATTACATTTGAGTGAAACTTATGCCATGATGATTGAACTTTTTTCTCTTTTTGTTTTTTTTTTTGGGAAATCCAAATTATAAGATGTAATGGCATCACCAGGTATCAGCGAGTACTCAAATTTCAGTACCTGTACCGCTTTTGAATCTGGAAAAAAAGTGGTTTCGGTGCATCCCTAGTAGAAACGAATTCTCCTTAAAACCAAAACGTTTCAAATGAAAACAATGGTCTTGGGCACGCTTTGTCCTCAAATGCATCTAGCGTCATTTTCTTACAACAATTTACATTTGTCAAGCAAATACCTTTGGTTTCAACACCCTCTCTGCGCTGGCAGTGCTGTCCAGGCAAATGCCTTCATCCACACAATCGTCAGTGGAGAAATCGTTGCTCATCTGGTCACTGTGGCAACTGCCTTCATTCTCTGCTCCACTATCGGTGCAGCTTTCTGTCTGAGGCGACTTCTACAGATGTCATTTAAACAGACCACAATAGAAAAGATTTTAATTGAAACGTGGCCAAGTGCTCAACTCTACTAATCATGATTGACGTGAGAAAAATCAGTGCTTGTTACAAAAATAGGTTACGGCCTGTGAATCATCCACATGTGCGTTCCTACCAATCCTGCTCTCACCTCATCCTCGACGTCAATGAATGGACTCATGTCAAGTTCCTCTGGGAAAGTCATGCTGTCATTGAGCTTGATGCGATGCATAGTGGTATAGTCAAAATCAAATCGCTTCAGCTGCAGCGTCAGCAGGTAAGGAAAATGCAGAAACCTCAAACCCTGTAACGAAATAGGTACGGGTGAGGAATAAATGAATTCTCAGAGTGGCTCTTCTGCATTCTGCATACAGATTGTGCAAACTCATTCACAGTGAGCTCACCTTCCGGGCATCACATTTCTTTTTGCAGCGTTCGCAGAAGTATTGGTTGGGCCCATCTAGAGTTTCCGGCTGAATGAAAGCCTGCAATGCCTCCTCCTGGAGCACCAAAATCAAATTCGGGTTTAAAATGTATTCAAATGAGCACCCCTGTGAGACCATTATGTGAAATTGGGAATGTAGAGGAAAACATACCACACTGCCATAGGCCTGACTGGCCCCGAAGGGTCTTATTACAAGAGGGATATCCAGGTAAGTATCAATCCTCCAGCTCTCGTATCCACACTCCAGACAGCGTACGTAATCTTTGAGCTTTCCTTGGTACAGCTGATTGATCAGGTCAGCCTGAAGAAAGTCACGCAGCAAGGCCTTCACTGACATGATTCATGGGGAAAGGCCAACTCGCAAAGAATTTGAAGAGACAGTCATGATATAAAAGCCCTTGACTTTTCATAGATTCTAAACGCCATGCGTTTGGCCCATGACAGGAACAGTCACACGGAAGCAACTCTTCCATTAATCCTGTAGTGTTGTTAGATGTCAGCGTGGCATTTTTGCATTTCACTGGTGTACCAAGTTTAGAAGAATTCTTTCACCATTCTTCAATTTTACACAAGGTGTGGTAATATCTCTGGTTCGCTTGTTTGGCAAAAATTGGCACCACCAGCCACAGCAGCTGCCATATAATGTAACAGCAACTGAGATGGAGATGTGAAGTACAATATTATTTCCTGAACATCAAAAGCAAAACATTTAAAATGTATACAAACATCATCACAGTTATATGTTCAAAGGTGTAGGAAGAAGTATACAACTTATCTAGTCCTACCCCTTGTGAATGAAAACAATAATGTGGGTGATGTTGTCCCCAATTGCATGCAGAGTAATTTTCTTACAATTCACCTTTGTCAAACAAATACTTTTGACTCCAAAACCCTCTCTGTGTTGGCCTATTTGTTTCACACTTATTTGTTAATATTCAATGACCACATACATGCTGTACTCATCATGCAAATACAAGCAGAACAATGACTGTATCCAAACTGCAGCTAAGGAAATTTTATTTTTATTGTATTTTTTCCCCATTTAGTTCATTATGGTGTTTAGAACAGACAAGAAAGGTTTTCTTGCTCATCATTGACAATGACATCACCGTGCTGCTTTAGAATGGAGTTGAAACAACAGATTTCAAAAGTTAATCTAAAATGCATCTCAATTTAAACAAACTGACACTTGAGTGAGTAGTGCAAGGCCAAGGCTACGGTTGCTGCTTTTAAGGCTATTTTTTAAAGCTGGTTTAAAAGGTGGAGAAGAGTGTTTTATTTTAAGGCTGTATCTCACTAGCGTTTTTAAGTGTGTGCGCTGCTAGCAAGGCTTGTTTGTTGTTTTCATCGTCAGGGTTCGTTCAAGGTCACAAACGATTGCAAAGAGTTCGTTCAAGGTCACAAACGGTTGCAAAGACGTTGGCCAAAAATTTTCATGGTCTCAAACAGTTGTTCTTGTCCCAAAGAAACCCTGAACATGTTCAAAATTTGATGGCAAAAAGAACAAACGTTTGCAAACATTACGATTTGGGAATGCATGACGAACATCTTTGCAACTGTTTACAACATTGAATTGACATTTCCATGCAACTTTGGAGAGTATCCATGCTGAGACAACCCTAAGTCATATTTCTTGTGCAAGTATATATCTTGTCTCATTTGTAATCGGCAGGGTCAGAAAAAAAAATCTCCCACAGGATATTTAGTAAGTTGCATTACTTTCAATGATGGGCAATCACATGCTTATTTCTCTCATGTGCAGGCATGTGGTCTGCACAGACAGAGGCCGAAGTGTTCGCAATCCTGCCCAGTCCATGATCTTAAAAAAAAGTGTTAAATCCTACTTGCAATTTCCCTTTACTCACAAAAAGCCTTTTGTTTTGTTTGTGATGTGGAGCTGATTTTTTGTTTGTGCTTCCTCCCACCTGTTCGGTCTGCTTCCACTTTTGCTCCAGGGCATCGAACATGACCCTGCAAAGTTCTTGCACATCATGTTGTTGCCAAGCTGGGATAAAATAAAAATTAAAAAAGGATAAATGGCATGACATGTGACGTTTCCCCCTCAAACAGCATTATTCTAGCCATGGGAGAGGTTGAAAAATTCACCTTCACTACTGTCCCATCCAAAGCTGCGCGTCACATCGGTGGTCTCTATGGCACGTTTCTTGCTTGTCTGGAGAAGAACAAACAGTCTTTGCAGCTGGTAGGGAATGCTTGTGACTGGGTCCTCTTCAGATTCCTCAAACTCCCAGCTGAAGTGGGCAACAATTGCAGATGTTTTGAAAGTTCACTGAAAAAGCAAACTCTTCATATGGCCTGAATACAGTATTCCCCCGTGATAATCTTGATTCATCATTCACGCCACGTCAAGAGGCACCGCCTACTTAGGACACATGCATGTACGAAGACAACGTGGACATTGTTTTCTATACAGTATGCTTTTTTTGGGCTTCAAATTTAAGTGTACAATGTGTTTGTGTTAACAAGTTCAAATGTGTTGTAAAAGTGTGTATGGAGTAAAACTATGAAAAAAATAAGTGACCACAGTCTCTCTATATTATGGATTTTCACTCATTCCACTTATTGTGTAACCTGGAACCGTATCACTTGTGATAAACGGGCTCACTGCATATCTTAACTTACTTGTACAGTGCATTTCTGAACTCCGGGGTCATGAACAGTGTTTGTAAGAGACTGTTCAAATAACAGGTCATTGCTTGGTTGACCAAACCCACGTAACCTAGAGTGGTGGAGAGAGCGAACTAAGAAGACAGCAGAGGTTGTACAAAAACATGACACATTTTCCAGGTGAAAACAACTCACCCGTCTCAGATTTGTTGAGGATGGAGGTGTAAGAGTAAGAGGGGCTACGGCAGTCGCCACTGCAGCCAACGGTACCGTCTCTGGGAAGGGGCCCAATAAATCGCTCCTGGGAGCCATCATCCAGCCCACTGCTATCTGCTGCCCCTGACTCATCCTAAATGCAAGGCCATACAGCGAAACAAACTTACATTTTTGTAATATGTTAAAAACACAATCTCTTGTGAGTTCTCCATTAACATTCTGCCAAAACACAACTTCTGAACCTGATCCAATGACAAGCACTGATCAAAACACTCGCCCTCCAGGTATACACAGTAAACACTGGGCATGATGGTTGTATTATGTTGTTCACCTCTCTTTCTACCTGATGTACCCATCACATTAATCCTGAGTCATCAAAGACTCATGAAACCACACGACAAACTTCCATTGCTCCCAAGTCCAGCCTTTAAACTCACGAGCAAACCGAAGAGCCAAGCATAAGCATTTTGTTTAATTATCTATGCACCACTCACCGAAGCCACTTGTGGTTGTTCTCCATCTTTGTCTGTTAGCTGAAGGAAATTCCTCTTACCACCAGGCTCAAACCCAGAATCCAGAAGCGACACTTCTCCGCTGTGCTCTAAGGGTGTCTGGATGTACAACAGGGGAGGAATATTCAAATGTCAGTCTTTGACACTAGCTAAAATGTTGTTTTGTTTTTTTCACTGCACGGGGTTTTATTCCATAATATTTATTGTTGTGAGTAAATGCCAAAAGGTGGGTAGGTCTGTCACAAATCATTATTTTGCTAGTTGAGTAATCACCGATAGTAGTCGCAATTAATCGACTAATCGGATCATATGTCAATCACAACAAGCAGCTGCTGCTCTATAAAAATTATTAACTTGTAACTGTATAGGGGAAGTCAAGTCAGATCACAAATAGGGATGCTCCAATCGATTACCCAGTATTTATGATCGTTCTGCTAAGGGAGTGACATATTTCTCCCTGGATGGTTTCTTTACGATGAGAATTGCTTACATGTATCATTAATGAAATAAGTAAAGAGGTTCGGGTTTTATATGCCATTATTTTTCTTAACAAGCAATGCACATTGTATCGCCATTGGTATTGAATTAACATGGATGTCACTATTTCACACACAACGTCAAGTGTTTCTTAAAATTAAAAGAATAAAAACAGTTACAAATGTTAGCATTTAATATATCATACACATTCAACTATTGGCAGCAGAAACACATATGACAAGGATTAACGTCCTCATAACTTTATTCATTAGGTGTATTACGCCACGCAATGCACTCTGGGAAACGAGAAAGAGATTCTGATTGGGCGGCAGTTGCTGTCTGGACTTTATTTTTTTTTTTAAATCCAGGTATTTACGGTGTAGCAGACCATATGACATGACGTCAAATCAGACTTCTTCGCAATGTCTTATTTTTAATAATAAAGGGATAGAAATGTCATAAATATGTTTTTAAATCTGACTAATCAATTAAATGGAAAAACAAATCAACTGATTAATCATTTACTTCAGAAAAATACATGTGTAGCTCTAAAATTGAAAATTTTACACCGAATCCAGGTGATCGCTATAGGTATCGGCCGATCACACTTATGGATGATAGGTATCGGGATCGGCAACTTCAAACCTTGATTGTAACATCCCTACTTTACAATAACATGTTCTATGCGGTCCCACAAGTCTAAACACGGTATTCTGATTAATATTGGGTTTGTGGAATATGAAATTAACAGCAAAATCCAAAGCCAGAAAACTGGTGAGCCGTGATTGGGCGATACCTGAGCCTTTAGGGCCGTATCTCACTCAGCGACACAGGTTTGCGAGTGTGTGTGCAAGAAGCAAATGTTTCTTTGGTCATTCAAGGTCGCAAAGACGTACGGTAACAGTCTGAACAGTTTTTCATTTTTCTCATGACACCGAAAATTTGAACATGTTCAGGCCAACGTCTTTGCCACTGTTTGCAACATTGAACGAACTGTGACAATAAATAAACATTGGCTATGTGCGCACACGCTTGAAAACTTTCGCCGCTCAGTGACATACAGGTTTTAGGTACTGTGATGTCATGTTCCGTTATTTTGAGTTCTCCTGTTTCCGAAATCCTGATAGCATCACTCTGTTCCGTACTAAACTTAAAAGAGCCAACACACACACACTTTCTTCCCAATGGCTGTGCTGGGGATGAGCAAGCAGAGAGAGCTGCAGTGGAAACATAGCGCAGCTTAATCCACTGACCTACTCAGTGAGATAACAACAGGCACAGAACCTAAGGCTTTGGCGTGGGTCAACAGCAGGATTAGCTTGGGCTCCTTTAAGAAAAGGGGCCAGTATGTACACAAAAGAGCACAGACTGCCCTCCTTCTGTATGATTCGACATCAGCAAACACAAGCAATCACAGTGGGCAAAACTTTCGTTGACTTTGTACACGTGAACAATGGTATGTTCAAATCCACTATTGAATAAAAATTTTCGGCCATGTGTTATTTTCAAACATTACATTACTATCAGCCTTCCCAAAGTTCAGATACAGCACAGCCTCAAGGGAACAGATGTCACAAGACCATGTTGCAGTAAATCGGACTTTTAAACAACAACAGAAATCGCTTTAATTGGATGGTGTGGAGTTAGGAGAATTCCCCAACCATGTCTTGGGTGTTTCCCCAGGCCAATTCAAAGGAGCCATTGACATATCCTGCTTTGTGGGCAACATCTTCATAGAGTTTGGAGAGGGCGGTGGACGCTGGCAGTTTGAAGGTCAACCTCGCATTGACCGTCTTGGCACAGGTGATGTCCTGGATTATACACAGCACTCTGGGCTCCTCTGCGGCTTCTTGGATCTGCAACAACACAATGGGAAGACCGTCAGCGTGACTAAATGGTCGGTCCTAATTTTATATCCTGTGTTTATACTCTGTTAAAAGCTGCGGAAAGTTTGAACTTTATTTATTGCGCAATGCTTATTCAACATGAGACAGAACACACCTCATGCCATGCTGTGTTACAGATCACACTTAATACAAGTTGAGCGACATTTCTGAAAAACATGCAGCAGGTTTTCCAGCCAGATTCAAATGAGCCCTTGGCACGGAGATGACAGTTTTCAAGTTTGGAGTATTTGACTTCACTCTCCGTTTGCATGTTACTTGTGATTGCTGAGGTTTTCCAGAGGTCTAAAATATTAGACTTTACACAGATCTGATGGGCTAGATTGCTTGTGCAGACATTTCACACTTTACGCACAATCGATAAGACATTACAGCAAGTGCATTCTCGTTCGCACACACGCGCGCGCGCACACACACACACACACACACACACACACACACACACACACACACAGTTACGAAACGCCTCAACAGGAAAATATTGCCTCTAGTTACGAAAGAAATTTCAAGATACAAAAGCTAAAAATACAGGATGGGTTACTACTCGAAGCTCCGAGTTTCCTGAACGCAACATACTTATAGCTACTCTGCCATTGGCTATTCCCGAACATCATCCTGGCATCCCATTGGCTAAGAAGGACCTCTACCATATGTGTCTGTGTGCCGATAGATGTGTGTTTATGCAGCGTCTTCGTCATTCGCCTCTTGGGCCATGAGGTGTTCCGATAGTTTTACATAAATGTGAATCTACAGAAAAAGTGTTCACCAGTCGAGTGATCACTCACTCTGCTGATGTTTGCCTTGGATATTTTCTAAGGATTGTTAAAAGCCAACAAAAGACAACAAAAGCAGACGTCATTTGCTCAATTCTTTGCAAAAGGCCAGGCAAAACCACTTCTGAGAGAAAACATGAACTACAGAGGGCAACAAACCATGAAGACGCAGTTAAAAGTTAAATGACCACCATTTTTATAATTTACTCTATTCTTTGCTTTTTACATTATGCACAACCCTCATTTATTGTGTAATAATTGAATTTGTAACATGTATTTCTTCCATATTTTGATGCATTTTTATGCTCTAGAAAACATTTATGCCTGAATTTGGGGGGGGCTTGGAACGGATTAGGGCATTTACATGGAAAATGCGTCTCTACTCACAAAATTTTCTACTTAAGAAATTTCTTTTTTAGGAGAATTCTTTGGGGTTAAATTGTTATTCATTTTTTTCAAATGCATTTCAGGGGATGTCAGTTGTATGGGAATTTTGGCTATTCATGGGCTGAGCCAGTCCTAATCCCCGTAAATAGTGAGGATTGACTGTACAGTTAACAAGTTCTTTCAATAGATTGATCCATCCTCTGAGCAGATTTCGGTCTTTTTAAACTCAGTGATCGACTCCAAAATATTGATTGTCCAAAGCCTTTAAAATATGGGTTATGATGTCATGTTTTAAGAACCACAGTCCACATGGCGAAAAAAGAAAGAAAAAAAATCAGAAACTCCTGGTAGATGAAAGATGACAAAGATGGACAGAATGTCATTTCATTTGAGGAGGAAGTTACATTTAACCCTAAATGACTTAAATTACTTGATTTATACAGTTAAATCCAGCAGAAACACTGGAAAATATTTCTCTTGGCCTTTGCAGCAGTATGCATACGTTTACTGGAAACTAATCAACCGCCACATACAAAAGCACAAGCACATACATTCAGGGTGTCAAACTATTCAGATGGCGGTGGTACAAAAATGTCACCAATTGAGAGAACTTCACATCCACATTCAATTCTGTTTACATTCTCAAATATCGAACTGGGCAAGATGCAAATGGTACAAGTACAAAAAAGGAATGTTTTTTTTAAACATTGAACATTGATTGAAGCTTTGTTTAAAAAGTAGAGGAAATACTTTGGCCACCAACCCTCTCGTCTCAGACTATCATGTTCAAGCAAGGTGGTAAAGAGGAGCTACAGGAAGTGACGCCATCATGATGCACAGCTCACATCATTCGCGAGCATCCTGTTTGCTCACACTAGAGTAGGATGAAGATGGCACACATGGGTGGAATGTAGAGGCCACTACGCAAGTGTTTCTGCAGGAAATATTTTCTAATATTAGAGCTCAGGTGTCATGGAAAAGTTCCATCTCTGTTTGGTTGCAAATTTGTTGAACTGCTACCCAAGAGGCTCAAGACTAAGTGAAGCGAGTGCTTTCCTACACATTTAATCCAAGAACTTTGCTCAAAGGAATCAACTTACATTCCAAAATAGTCAAGTAAAAATGCAAATGCTTAAAAGAAATGTCTTGAGTAGTGTCGTAAGTTTGGCTTGAGAGTAGAACAACTGAAGTCTTAATATGTGGACAAGCGGCAATTACACCAACAGGATGTGAAAATGGAAATTACTATGGGCTTGGTTGAGCCCTTGCAACTTGAACAGCTTCCTCTCTTCTGCGGGAATGACTCAATCTCTGTTCTCCTTCCAAAGGTGTGCCCCAAAACCTTAGTCCATATTGAATTCGAATTTTAAAGTAATAATATCAAGAAACCAGGAATAGTGTGCTGCAACTAGAGAATTGGTCTTTTAATGTATGTCTATTCGTTTCAAACTCTCTAAGTCCTAATGCAAACTATTACTGTCCACATGCCACATACGACTAGCTACCAACATGCTGAGGACCAGAGTTCAAAGCACTGCACACGCAAGGCAAGGCTACCTTAGTAATCCTCTTCATCTCCTCAAAATGACTGTCTGCAACTCCAAAACCTACCCTAATAATATGAAACATAAACATGGATGACTTATACAAAGCATGTGAAGTCAGACTGGTGCATACGAGACTCATATATGCAGAAAAAAAAAAAGTGACTCGAAGTAGTAACGGGATTGATCTTCACCTCTTTCATGATTTTGCAAAATACGTATCGTAATCGTGGCACAATACGAGCGCCGTGTTCTATAAAGGGCACTGCAGCTGACAACACACAAGTGTATTACGAGATTAAAGGTTATTTTTGCCATGGATATAATCACTGGGTGTCAACATGACACACACACACACACACACACACACACACACACACACACACACACACACACACACACACACACACACACACACACACACACACACACAGCGACGCAGCACAAACCAACTTTTTTTTTTTAATTACAACTGTCTCATTCAAAAGGCAGCAAAGAATATTAACAGGCATAGCAATAAACGATAATTGAAAAAAAATGGAGCTAAATGCTAAAAATACAGAAAAGCAACCAAACTACACAATGAAAGTGAATAATACTTGGGCACAGACATATTCTCGTTGACATTTGCCAATGATAGCAGAAAATTCAATGAAAACAACAGTACAGTCACTCTACATTCATATATCTAAAGAGAAATAACCCCAATAACAGTTTTGGACCTGCACGTGGGACACATTGCAAAATCTGAGGTTGGCTGGTCACGTTCCATTTGTAGTAACGTCATTCTACTGCTGTTTAAATTGCATCAGACATCAGAGCAAGACACAGGTCTCAGGTTTCCATTGGGTTAAAATTTCAAAGAAAAAAATCCAAATAGATTGTTTATGTTTTCTGCAAGTTGTTTTGTGCCTAATCCTGTGCATAAATCAAACATAGCTTTGTCAAATTATAAATATTGAAGAAAAAAAACCTTTTGAAGCTTTTGTTATGAGATCCACAGCTTTGTTGCTGTTTTATCTTTCAGGGATTTTTCATCCTCCTGGGTTTAACTCTGGCTTTTTAGATTAATTTTCTGAATTAGTGGCTGGCTTGGTGACTCACGGAGATAATATAATAATAATGGGTGAGTTTAATATACATATGAATCTCCCGTCGGAACCACTTACCGTGGCGTTTCAGACAATAGATACTTTTGGTTTCACGCAGATAATAGACGAAGAGACCCATAAAAATGGTAACACGGAAGATTCGGTACTTACCCGGGGGTTATCAACCTCAAATGTGATGGTACTACTGTATGCGACTGCTATATCTGACCATTACTTAGTAAAATTTGAGGTCTTAGTTTAAGGCCATCCTCGTGACCACCATCAAAGCTATAGCAGCCGCAATCTTAGCTCCAACCACGAGTGCCCTCTCTGAGCTACTGCCTCTGGCAGCTGCATCCTTTTCTTCTTATAAGGGTTCGATTGAGAATCTCACAAACTATTTCAATGCGGTTCTGTTAAATGCACTCGACGTGGTTGCAACATTAAGACTGAAAACTCATCCCAAAGAGGCTTAGTCCATGGTTTACAGATGAAATGCGTGCACACAAACAATTTATGGAGGAAGCTTGAGCGCAAATGGCGTAAGACTAAACTCGACGTCTTCCATCAGGCATGGTAAGAAGCACTTATTTTAACCAAAACTAATTATCTTTCAAGAATAAGCAGCCTCAATAAAAATAAGACAAAATACGTATTTGATACAATGGCATTGCTACCTAACGTTAGCTATAACTAACCCCCGCAGTGGCTGTAATCACAAGACGTGTCTTGCTGTGATTAAACAATGGATGACTTCATGTTTTGCTTCTTAAACCCGATCAAAAGGAGATTATGATAATTGGCCCTGCTTGGCATCGGCACCTTATCAAGGACACTACTCTCATCCTCGATAAATGTACTATTACCCAAAGTGATTCAGCAAAATAATCTCGGCATTATATTTGATTCAACGCTCTTTCTTCAAACGCAAATTAAGCATAAAAACTATATGCCGGTGAGTATTGTAATTCCATATGTCTGTCTACATGTATTGCTGCACCATTTGCATTCAAATATCAATTGCTAAAAGGGTTAGAAACCGCAACTGATGCGATTCATTAGGCCATCTACTGCATTTGCCTGGTGAGAATAAAGCTAGCAGACTTTCCGAAGGCAATTACGTGGTTATTTTAAATACACGACATTTTCTTAAGTTATGTTTTGTGTGAGAATAAAGTTTAATTTTAAGTCACAATAAACAGTATGAAGCATCTCTTTGAAGAATTGTTCACTGTCCACCAAACTGTGAGTTGTGAAATGAGTTGTGTTCGCTGCCACCATCTATCGTTTGTATCTCAAATATTTTATCACAAGTCAAAGCAAAAAAAAAAAAAGCCTGAGCAACAGCCTATACCTTTAAACCTCGCAAATTATTCCCTTGTAAGTCAAGCTATCACTCTACTACAGTATTATGAAGATGAGCAGTACTCTTATGAATGGAGTAAGACAAAGCCAACTGGACTGTTTTTCTTCAGTTCTAATACCTTAGTTGAAACTAAGTGCTGTAATTTGTATACTGTCTGCAAACATGGATGCAAACAATAGAAAGAAGTCAAATACAGCAGAATAAACAAGGCTAAGGACAGAATTAGGTAGTAAGCAGCTACATTTACCCAGTTACAATTACTTGTCTGAGAAGTTTCAATGCAATATACTGGTACTTTATTCCGTTGAGTATTTTTGTTTGGAAGAAACGCTACTTTTATTCCGTCACGGGGAGCTGAATTCGGCTCTGTACTTTTATTTGGTTCATCAGCGCGACTTGAGCCACGTGTGCTGTCACGTGACAATCCAACCAAAACAACTAGTGACGTTTGACTCCATTTCAAATATTAAACAGAGCCAAGAAGTTACACATTCACATACAGTTTCTGTGGCTCGACACAGAAGCAGCAATTTTAATGCGTGCAATGTATGTCATGCATGGCAGAAACAAAAGCATGGAAGACTCGCAGTCGCAAGCAGCAGAACGCCCATCACCTCACTTTCACTTAATGTTGACCTTACACTAGGGATGTCCGGACCACGCTTTTTTATCACACGAGTCCAAATCCGAGTCCTTGGTTTTAAATATTTGCCAATAAAGATTCCCAACTGATACTCAGGCATTGCATTAAGAAAAAAAGAGCGTGCATGAGATATTTCTAAAATTAATACAGAAATATACATACATACATTTGTGTTTATTATGTGAGGTTTTATATACAAGGTGCCAAGGTACCCATATAGTCACTTTACAATTATTAAAGATTACTACAAGGGCAGTTGATAAGACATCTTAACCCTGATTTGTTTCATTCTAATTAGTGTTTATTAACATTTGTATTCACATTAATTTTTTTTGTGTTTCAGATGTGTTTCAAACCTGCCATCGACGATATTTACATGCTCGCGTCATTGAAAGTGATGGCGGCGTGAGTGATGTCTCACCAACGTTTGCTTGCTTTGTCGATGGGGTCGTGCGTGTTGCTCAACTTGGCGAGAGTGTCATGAGTGTGTTGCTCAGATTCTTTTCTTTAGCGGTAGTGGCGCTTATGGAGTCGCAAAGTCACCATCCTTCAAATGTTTTGTAGCGCGACAGAAGTGTCAGCAAATTGTTTTCCACAGCGACCGTTTTCAAACACATCTGACAATGTTTTTTGGACCAAACCGCCAAATCATTTCCATGCTTGGGATGTGGACTCATCCATATTTGAAAAAATGTTGTGTTGCCTTGGCTGCTGCCAGAGTGATGTGACTCAATCCTGGCCACTGATTTGCAGAATCAAGACTTAATAATAATAATGCATCCATTTTTCATGCCACTGTTTTGGACACTCAAAGACGGTTCACAGTGTATACATTGTTCATACACTCACACATTCACGCTCTGGCAGTGGCTGCACAACATAGTTTACCACAGCTACCCTGTGGCAGGTTGACGGAAACGGGGCTGCCAGTACAGTATGTGCCTACGGCCCCTCTAACAACACAACCAAACATTAACACCTAGCTGTAAACGAGGGTGAGTGTCACTGGAGGCGGGTGAAGTGTTTTGCCCAAGTACACAATGACACATAACTCAGACAGATCGGGATTCGAACAACCTACCCTTCGGTTACTTAACAACCAGCTCTAAAATCTTTGAAGTAGAGACACAAGGATTTATTGTAATATTTCAATACCGTAAATCACGCACACCCTGTATCAGAAACAAATGCATTTGAGGGGCAGGTATCACAGCAGCGAACTGTACTGTAACATAATAAAAAAGTTTAAATTCAAGATGCACTGAACCCACAAAAAGTAAATCATAATATAGAGATGGACGACTATAATTACTGTTTTGGTCAAAGTGATACTGTTGGGCAATATCGGAAGTTTCATATTCCTATTTCTGTCTATTTGACATTCACAATCTGATTCTACATAAGTAAATCAGAAGTCCCTTACCGCTTACTCCATACGTGAGTATTCCCCCCTCACACGCAAGCACACAATTTATGAGGACTGCTGACACTGTCTTCTACATATAGCTTTCTTTTTTTTTTTGGAAAGTTGTAGATTCTTCTTCTCTTTTGTTCGGTAATTATATGGAGGACTACTTTTAACTTTCACTTGAGTAATTTATTTTCCAGGAGTAACAGTACTCTTCAGAATATTTTAGCCCACGTCTGGCTAAAGAACAGCTGATCGCCCTCAATCGAGGCTGCAGAATCGCTTTGGGAGATACTTTGATCGAGCAAAACGCATTCCAGATCACGTCTGGGTGTTATATCCTGAAGAGGACTGCTGTCATTTCTCCAAAATGAGCCTGTCTTGTTCATCTGACACACCTTGGCGAACACATTGCGAAAACTTAATCTCAAAACAAGCCGCAACATGACAATAAGAGATTCTGCGCCGTTTTAAAAGTACCGAATTGCACTTTTTCAATTTGGATGTAACGCTTCTAACGATTAGGAAAGTAATTATGTTGCCAATGTTTGAACTTATCACACGACATAAGCTAATCAGCGAGCTACTGCGACTTGTAAATTGATGAACAGTATTTGTGAATATCGTCGTGGCTATTACACAGTGCTGTACTTATTTTAGGCATTGAAATGACACTAAAGCTGCCGTTTAGTTACACGAACTTACTTTGTCTTCAGTGTTGTGCTGCTAACGCCAATGTTAAGTTAGCCATGTCACGATAGGCCGTCCAAGTCATGTTGAGAGGCTAACAGCTAGCAGCTAAGTTAGCCTCAAAACAACAACCAACCTCCTTTTAACACCTTAAAGCGTTCACATCACACGCATGTATTTTTGCATTCTCGGCGTAAAGTTAAGGATGACAAGTTAATTATGCGATCCGGGCTGGGTCTTGGATCGACTCACCTCTTTGCATACGAACTGGTTCTCCTCGCTGGGCACCATTTCCATTTGTGCGACACTTTAGACAAGCCGAACCTGGACAAGGATGTCAGCGAAAGAACTTTGCACACGTCAGCTGCAGCATGGTTAACGTCCTGTTGTTTTGACTTTTCCCAAGCCTGTAGAGCCGAGTCACACTTGTCCGAACTTGTAAGTTTATCAAAGTGGTATGAAGCGCTTTTCCACTCCCCAAAGCGTCAGCAGCGCTATTGAGAAAAATGGCCGGTGTGCTCCTGAGCCAGAGTTCGTTCAGACACTGTTGACGTCACGCGAGTGTGCGTGACGTACTAATGTGTTGCCTTTGATGTTTCAACTGTACCTCTCCTTTTAACTACATTTTATGTTAAAGATTTTGTGTTTATACATACAATAATACTAATAGTAATAATCGGGAATTTCATGACTTGTCAAACGGTGAATTCAACTGTAAGTCTTCAATTTCGCCATGTTGCCTTTGATGTTTCAACTGTACCTCTCCTTTTTTTTCGCCACTAGGCAGCGCAACTGCACTCTGGCTGTGATTTTATCCCCAGAAGTCGTTTCATTCTACCAAGAGCTGAATCCTGTACAATCAGGGGTCTGCAACCTGCGGCTCGGGAGCCACATCTGGCTGTTTCATCACTGTGTTGGCTTGGAAAATAAGTAGCAAGTATCTAATTTTGAATTAATTTTTAGTTTTTCAAATGCTCTTCTAAATTTGAAAATTATAGTGCTCTTGTAACATTAAAATAATTGTTTGGATAATTTGACTTTGGCTTTAATTTCATACATACAAGAATGACTTAAATTTCCTTTTTATTTTAAAAGTAAGCTTCAACCAAGCATCTTTTTTTCAGAGTTTAAAATATTATTGATACATGCAGAGATCAAACTTTGTGTTGCCTGAAGCAATTCATTGATTTTATTATTGTAGTGACTCTTTGTTCCTTCATATTTCAGTTACTATGCAGTTGCTGTTGCTCTTTTATGCTTTGGTACTTTATTCTGTCATAAAGGATTGATGTCTCACAGTATTTAAATGCTACATCATCTTTCTCCCAGTCAAAAGTGTCAGCTCTCTTCTGTGTGTTCTGCATCCACTCTGCTCTCAGTAGTTACTTTCTATTTTTGTAGATAAAGACTTACTTCTCAATTTCCATGTCATGTCCGCTTTTGGAACCAAATTCCGCTCCTCACATGATGCTTGTGGAGGCTCTCAGTCGTACAGGAAAGTTCCATCGTAAAAAGGGTTCCGTCAGTCGTCATCTGTACCTGTGGGTAAAAAAAAAAAAAAAAAAAGGACGTTTCGCTTCTCTCACAGAACCTTCGTCAGCGGTAGACAACTCTGAAGTCTCCGTGAAGACTCCGGGAAAAAGGAAGCGATTTCGGTTAAAAAAATTTTCACCCTCTCTGAACCGTGAAGGAGGTATCAGATTTAACCTGTCTCCTATTTACAATAACCTGTTGACCACCAAGGGACATAGACATGCTGATCAGGCTAACTGAAAGTAGCTATTCAACCCTAGCCCAAACAATAGGCCTAATCAAGACCCAACGATAGGGAATTTAGAAATCAATGGGCCTCTTCACCACAGGGGCGTGACTAACCATCCCCACTCAGTCCTCAAATAGGCCACGCTCAGCTTTTTAGCGCAGAGCAATTTCCCGGAGTCTTCACGGAGACTTCAGAGTTGTCTACCGCTGACGAAGCTTCTGTGAGAGAAGCGAAACGTCCTTTTTTGTTTTTTGTTTTTTGTTTTTTTTTTGTTTGTTTTTTGTTTTTTACCCACAGCTACAGATGACGACTGACGGAACCCTTTTTACGATGCTTCTCACATGACAGAAAGTGCTACTGTATATAACTAAAGATGTATTTTTAGGTGTATGCTGTATACAGTATATGCGGTGTTATCGGGACTTTCGATAAAAGGTTTTGTGGTGCTCTTTTTTTTTTCTTCTTGAATTTCTTTGGATCGTCACAGGATGTTTGTTTCTTGAGATCTTGTAGCCTACTTCACTTTATCTGACATTCTTTTTACGTATGTATTCTCAATTCAACAAATATGGTGCTAGGGTGTTGCCTGTGGGGTGGGGAGGGGGCAATTACTTTTTCACATAGCGCCAGATAGGTTTTAATTTAATTTAATACAATGTTTTGTATTTCCCTGGTTTGTCTCTGTGTGATATTAAATTTGGTTTGATGAACTGAAATCTTTGTGTGTGATACATATGCACAGTACACAGCAATCAGGAAGGGGGCAAATATTTTTTCACGGTGCTGTATCTGATGTACTCACAAGAATACATGCTTTATTCTGTTTTATGAATCGCAACAGGTGGATACACAGGTTTATTTTACCTCATGCCATCTTATACGAGAGCATTGAATTGTTCTAACTGTCAGTGCACATTAGTGATGGGCAAATGAAGCTTTTGTGAAGCATTGAACTACTTTGGCCACTTGTTTTGAAAATGGGTTCATTACTTGGCGCATCAGTTACAATGATCTCTGCTAATGGAAAAAGAAGGTTGCAGTGGTTTAAAACATCTTTGATTTGAAAAATCTTTGACGCGAGCAACCAAAGACTGAATATAATGTTCTATTCACAAATAGAGATGAATGTGTGCATTGTGTTATTGATGAGAGACTTCTGGGAAGAAATGCCATACTTTGTAGTTCAGCTGTGCTTGTGTTACTATGGCAGGTGGTGCTTACGTGTGATGGCAAACACTCAAAAAGTTATTTTTTAATCCTCTCAGTTTCTCCAACTTGACTCAAGGCTGTATTATCTGTATAAACGTTGAAGAAATATATTTGAGGCTAATTAGGTGATCAACAAACAAACATTGAGTAACAGACATGTATGTGAACTTAATACATACTTAATGTGAATACACTGAGCATACACTTTCGGTGGAAAGTTAATTATTGTTTTGACTCCTGGCATTCTTTGTGGGCCTGGATGGTTTCCCACCACTGAGTACAATAAAGAATTAATGTTTTCTTGCACTGATGTAAATACAGTGGTAAGGAAGCAGTAAAAACACCAGAGGTGAATTGTTATGTACATTTATTGCACATGCAATATGTGTGTTTTACATTTACCGATTGAATGCTAGATAAAAATGCTGCAGATAAATGGTGATCAATGAATATTGATATTGCACGCATCCTGAGCAGTATCAGCCATAGAGAGGTCAACAGCTTTGCACACCTTCATAAACTGGATCAATGGAAAGGCAAATAGGTTGCATGAGGGATTACTATGAACAGTACGAAAAGATTTTCACCCATTACAGCAAATGTCAATTGTACACTTTATTGCTAAAGTAATTTATGTTTTGAGTTGTTAGAACATTACATAAACATCTTGAATTAAAAGAATTGTACACTTCTATAGGTTGCGTTTGGGTTGTACAGATCGGCAGACATTATTCATAAACAATATTTCACCACATCAGAGGTCCGATCCAATTTGTAATTATTTTACCATTTCCACATTTTTAATAACAAAGAGTGTAACGTAATAATGTATTTCCACAAATAGTGCCATTTCTATAAGATTATTATTTACTCAACTGCAGATATGGGGAAAGTAAGGATGCCTTTATTTGTCCCCACAGCACAAACATGGACACACACAACCTTGTGGAGTGATTAAAGGGCAACCACAGATATATATTTTTTATCTTAAAAAAAAAAAAAAATCACAAGCAGAACAAGTATTGTCACGGAACGAATTAAAATCGTAGGGTCAGGCCACTTAGATTTTTCTCATTAAAAAGGGTGTGCCTATTTGAGCAAGTTGTTTATTTGCCTTAGCCACTATTTGAGGAAATACATGACTGTACTATCTTTCAGTTTCATCCATTGACCAACAAAGGAGAGCCAGACATGTGGCCTTTAGGGAATAACATATTCACAAATGTACTTTTTCAAACTGCGACACACCTCATCGTACCACTTGCCCTGTGCGGCCACTGAAAGAGACACACAGCTCTCCCGCTTGCTTCCTGTGGGCTGCTTCTTGGAGCGGTCCCAGTTGAGATAGCTGACAGGTTGACTATTGACGTCAACGTACTGGCCTTCTTTCACTATGTCGGCTACGCCGATCCAGAAGTCCTTGGAACCTGGAGAACTCCTCTTGGCATAATCTCGAAGGTCATTGTTCTCCATGGCATCTCGCGGCGTCGCAAGAGTTCCTCCTTGCGCGATGCAGTCTTCGTTCGCCTCGTGGTAGTGTTTGGGTTCCTCAATGGTGAGATAGCACTTCCTGTAAACTTTGATGCCACGGAGGCAAACTGAGAACAGAGATGATGTGTTTCAACGTTCATTTCAAACGATAACACCTAGAGAAGACACTCCTGGGTACCAGTAACATGTGGTGAGGCTCACGGCTGGTGAGGCACTGACATTAAGTCAGATTTACAAATGTATTAAACATAACAAAACAAAAATAGTGGTTTAAAGTTAAATACAACTGAGCTGCACTTGATGAACATGAATTGTTATTTGCAAGTTAAGTAAGTCAAATATAAAGCCCAACTGTTGTCTAAAAAAGAACACTCATTAGGACGAGTCCAGAGACATTATTTTTGGGTGAGTGGTACCTGTCTGCAAGGCCTGCATCTCTTTTAGCAAATTCACCTCCCGCCACAACTTCTCAAGCTGGCCCTTGACATCATCATCCTCTGCAGCTCCCCATATAAGAAGGAATTATTATGTAAGGTCAATATGAGCACACGGTTGACATTGTGCCTGATGAGTGTGCATGGTTACCCGTTGCTCGAGGTGACACGGCCTTCCTGATGCGAGGCGGGCGTCCGGAGATGGAGTGAAGCAAAGAGAGGCACAGGACAACAAATGCGGGAAGGCCTAGACGTGCCATTTTGAAGGCCACGCAGAGTACTACACCTTGTGCTCCCGTGAAACGGCTCAAAAAGTCTGAGGACGGCGCAGCATATAGTAGCTCTCTATGTGCTGTTCTGGAAGTTGCCACTGCATTGGCCCACATGATGTTTTTTTTTCCAAACATGGGGAGGAGGTAAGGGAGGTATTGGCCTGCAGGGACAAATAATGTCTTCCTTGTGTTGGAATTTGGGAGAAATATTGACTTGGGACACGATGCAGTGAGCACTGTGTCCTTTCATTTGACAAACTGGAAACATCATTAACTGTTTGGTACTTCCTTTCGCTGTCATATTTGGATGTGAAAGGTCTGCTTTTGACAAGTAACAAATGTCATCGTAAACTTGTTAGTCAACCCAAAAATGAAAACAAAATCAAGACTTTCAGTCAACAAGGGTCTCTTTTTTTTCCATTTGTGCGAGGCAAGATTTGTGGTGATACTTATTGCTTTGATATTTATTTGTTTTCCCGCCCTTAATAATTCTTTGCTATATTAGTAATTGTTTTGAGTTCAACATATTTTAAAGGAAATATAAGGTCCAATCCAGTGTAATTTTTCATAAATGTGTGACTGTGGGGCTGGGGCAAAGGTGGTCTAACGTGAGTCTCCTACAAGCTAGGACCACCCCTGTTTTATGTTTAATTCAGTCTATCCTTAAAAAAACAGCTATATGTAATGCTTTCTTAATTGCATTTTGTTCTATTTATTTATTGTTATTTTTATTTTTTTTACAATATGCTGTACGCTGCTTTACCCTATCCTGCTGGTACACTTAAAAGTTCCCTCTGTGGATCATCAAGGGTTTACTTAATTTCATCCTATTTTATTGACATACAGCTACACAGTGAAAAAACAGCTCTGCTTGACGTCAGGTATAATTTTTGATACATCTCTTGTCCTGGCTTTCATTGTGTACTTGCACTGAACATTATGGAAATTGAGTCCGCCCCTACACACCTGCCCGGCGCCTCAGGTCTGCGGACCAAACATTATTAGAAGTACTGTACCAAGAACTAAACTGAGGCTCAGAGGGGATGGAGCCTTTTCCGTTGCTGGTCCCTTTCTCTGGAATGACCTCCCACTGAACATTCGGCAAGCCTCCTCGCTGCCCATCTTTAAAACCTGCCTCATAACTCACTTGTATTCTTTGGCATTTGACTCAGCACGTCCCAAATTATGATCTTAGTTATACTGTTTGGTGCTCTCTACCGTCTTTGACACTAATTTGTTGTTTTGCTTTACTGTTATGTTAATTGCTCCATGTACAGCACTTTGTGTGCAGCGATGGCTGTTTGAAAGTGCTCTATAAATACATTTGACTTGAGTTGAGATTTGCGTGTATACTGGGCACATTTTGAATTGATACTGATGCGCACTTTACATCTATTTTTTTTTAGCCATCCTTTTCATTTACACTAGCGTTTCTCCTTATTGGGGTCACTGGTGAGCAAGCTGGCGCGTATTCTAGCTGACTTTGGATGCAGCCCAGACTGGTCGAAAGTCAATCAAGGAACATATAAACAGTCATTCATAATCACATTACAGACGATTTGGAATTTTCAATTCAGTGAACCTAATGCATGTTTTTGGACTGTGGGAGGAAACCAGACTGCGTACTTGAATAAAAATGACCCGGTCCGTCTCAACAGTGGAGTATACGTAAGAGCATCTAGACAACCATGCTACAATTGTATTTCTTTCTTTTCTTAAAATGACAACTTTCTCAGTTGGCTACTTTGCAGCTCCATTTATTTTCATGTAAAGAAAGTCCACAATGAAAGATTGCAAGACTGGACAGAAGTAGTCAACCACAGGTAAGAAACAAACAAAACACTGAATACTGAACTTTTCTTCCCCCCCCCAAATTAATTATGACAACACGTGAACACAAACATACGCACACATACCAAAGAAACCATGCACCTTTTCCTTTTCTCTTACAAACATAAATATCATATCTATTTCTACTCAATACTGATATGGATTTTGAAAGTGACTACCTCCAGTACATTAAACACATTTCTTACATATAGAGAGGTAATTTGTATCATAAACAATATTTCCTTTCTATGTTAGATTTAATTTCAATGAGCTGATGGAATCTTCAACAGTTTGTTTTCAATGAGCTGGCACTTGAGAAAATACATCCGGTCATGTGAAAAGCAATTCAAGTTTTATGTTAGGCAAATTTAAGAAGATTACATACTTCGTCTCAATAAGTCATCAAGGTGGTTGTGGTATTCCCTGCATTTGATGGCGTTTCTAATTTTGACAGGTTGTGTTTATTCTAAAAATAAGCGATCTCTCAGGGCATGTTTATTTTGAGGCACCAGAAAGTAAATACAGTAACTTTGGTCAGACAAGTAATAAAAACTCTTCCCAACTGGCAGTCTGACTGAAGAAATCATCATCGTCCTCTGAGATATTTTTACAGACATTCGGATATATTTTCGTGTCTCCTATTTATTGTGGTGTCTTTTCAAATAAAGGTCTTGCTGGATCCCACTTTTTTAAAAGCATTTCCTTTTATGTTACTAGGTAACAAAACTCAAGTGGATAAAAGTTGGGTCATAAATCTGATTTTCATCAGTCCAATTGCTGTGTAAATGTATTACGATATCTCTAAATGTCATTCCCAGTGCGTAACGTGATTAGTTTTGATGACTTTTAATCCTCTGGATACAGATAAATTTGTTTTCTTGGTAGCCTGACATTAAGGGAAAACATTTCAAGTATCAAACACAAGGCACATGTGATCCCATAATACACAATAAGGTTGGCACCTACAGGGATGCTTCAAAATAACGCTCGGCATTTATGCATTTCTACCACCACTATGTCCTCATCTGTCATCACTAAGTACGAGGGAGGATTTTTTTAAACCATATTTTTTGTTGAATTGATTGACTTTATATTCTAAAATTGACTAGTTGTTAAATGGTTTTCGCACGTCAGCATGGTTAAGTGCATATTAATCTTTGTTATGAATTAAATTTTTCACTAGATTGTTGCAAAACTAGAAAACAAAACAAACACAAAAAAAAAAATGCAGGCACTTCGTCCTTTGCACATGCATAAAAGTGAGCAGGTCCTGTTCTAGACTTTCAATTGCAAGTAACAGCAGGAAACGAGCAAGATGAATACTTACATGAGTACATTACATGCACAAACACTGCACAACTCTCTCAGCGTGATCCTACAAGGTGAACTCATTTTAGGTTAGTACTAATGGATAAAAGGCATGCGCTCTTTGCTGTCATTGTCCCCCTCAGGCTCCTCTTCTTCCTCCCCCGCTTCACTGGTCTCAGTGCTGTCACTGGCCATCTGATGGGGGGTGGGGAGGAAAGGATTTATTGGTCCATCGGTGACCCGATAGCGAAGTACGCACTCAACACAAAAGTACACTGACACACTCATTTAGAATACAATGCTTCTACATTTGAAACATAACGAGGATTTGACCTCCTATTACTAATCAATTGTTGAAGTGTATGTTTTTTTGGGGGGCTTTTTTTTTTTTTTTTTTTTTGGGCATTCATTATTTGTTTTTCATCCGATATGGTTGTACAGTATACAAACAGTACACAGTGGTACCTCGATTTACAGTATGAGTGGACCTTACCTCCAAGTGTTTGTGATACAAGGTATCGTATGGTTGACATTCTGACTTGCAAGCAAAATTTTAAGATGCAGAGAGTGGCAGTGAAAACATAAATAGGTCAACTTGTTTAATACCACTCTCAGTTGAGGTTTACTGTCTACTAACTGTTTACTGAACATGAAAAGGAAGAGATAAATTAACCTGTTGCAGGTTTTAAAAGAGTCACATCATTTTTTTTTCATGAAAGTCATCCAGCTTACTGCCAACACGAAATGCAAAGTGCCACAGAAGGGCAAAAAAAACTAGCATCCATGTTACGGTGTTATACCCTTTTAAACAACAAATATTTGAACATATACAGCACGGCAACAAATGTGAAAACAAACAATACATGCAAATATTTTCCTTAGCCTCTGCAAAGATTGACTTATACTACAGTCGACCCCCACATCCTCATGGTTCACCATCCACGGATTCGTATATTCATACATTTTTTCTCAATATTTTTTCATATTTGGGGGGGGGTTCAAACGTTTTAATGTTATACAGTAGGATAACATACAATTCGTCAGCAAAACTCTCCCCTGATTTTTGAGAAAAATGTATACTGAATATTTATCATCTTTTTTTATGTAAAGAATTTGGGGAGTTAAAAAAATGTAATTCACATGGGCATCAATTATATTATTATTATAATTATTATCTTTTATTTTTTTTATTTATTTATTTATTTTTTTTGCTATTCACAGGCTGGCCCCATCCGTATCCCCCCAAAATAGTACGGGCTGACTGCACTACACTGAGTAACTGTGAGCTTCTGAATCGCTTAAAATCCGAATGTACATATCTTACTTCACCCTGGTGGGAACCGCACAATGAATAATTCATAGGGCACAAACTGTTTAATTTGTTACATTCTATTTAATTCTGTTGAGATTTTGCATATTTGTATAAATTAAAATAGTTTAGAGTGCTCTTTTTTTCTCATTAAAAACATGCTACAAAAGCTTTTGTCTCTGGTGGACTGAAATGGATTCATGACATTCCCATTCACTTCCAAGGGAGTAAGATGATTTGAGAAATGAGTGTTTTGAGTTACCAGCGTGGTCAAGGAATGAATTAAACTCATGAGTCAAGGTACCACTGTATAATAAACTAAATTTCTGAAGACTTATGTGCATCGGATAAGTAGATATGTAAAGACATCAACATATCAGTTGTTCAATGTTCTGTAAAGCGCTTTGTTACATCTGTAGCTGTTGTGAAAGTGCGATATAAATAAAAATGTATTTGTAGTGTATTGTGCTATAAGAATGAGTTACAGAGTTATAAGTGAGAAATTGCTATTACCAAGGGAGTAGGTGACTTCTCAACATCCAGAATGAGTTTTCCAATATTGCCTCTGTCGTGAATTCTCTGCATGGCCTCCTTAACCTGACAAAAAAAGTGAATGTCAATTTGTGTTGTTGTTTTCATAAAATGTAGTGGATGTAGCTAGTCA